GGGAGCTAGATATGTGGTGTTGTTGGTTCCTATTAGGAAAGAGGAGTTCTGTTGTCTGAGAAGGGACTCTTGAACGTCCCGAGCCCTTATTTCTCTATAACTGGTCTTATTATTCTTGTAAGCTTCTACCCTGCTGCATAGCAGGAACCATGGAGTATGCAGGGGGCAACTTTAAACTTCTGAGAGATAACTTAGTTACTGCCATTTTAAAAGTTTCTTTTAGATAACTCAGTCTTTTTCAGATAGATGCCAAGTCTTTTAGATTTTCTCTGCCTTTCTTTGCCTAGCTAAAACGGCATTTTTACATTTGGAGAATGGGGCAAATGTGTCTTCATGGTAGGGTAGTTAGGATTTTGGATACATTTCACATTCTTTGGATCCTTTCTGGTCTCTGCTATGGAATGGATGGTTTTATAGTATGGATTGGCCCCCATATGACCTTTGGAGTGTTGTGTAGGCACCTATTGCTAGAATCTGGGCTTCTAGACATTTACCTTCAGGAGTAAAGTACTACATACTTTGTCCTCTGCCCATACCGCCATAAGTAGTCTCTTCACTAAAGTCTTATAACTTGAATCATCTGGGGTGATTTTGTTTCCTACTGGGATCCTGACTGATACAGAGTTGCTGACTGACTTTGATCTAAGGTCACTGAGGTCATTGATTTAATATCCCCAAACTATTATCCCAATCGTATATGTATATCTCTATTATAGTATTCATAACCATCTCCACTGTCAGTTGGTGAGGTTTTTTTTTTAAAGATTTTATTTTTTCCTTTTTTCTCCCCAAAGCCCCCTGGTACATAGTTGTATATTCTTCGTTGTGCGTCCTTCTAGTTGTGGCATGTGGGATGCTGCCTCAGCGTGGTTTGATGAGCAGTGCCATGTCCGCACCCAGGATTCGAACCAATGAAACACTGGGCCACCTGCAGCAGAGCATGCTAACTTAACCACTCGGCCACGGGGCCAGCCCCCAGTTGGTGAGGTTTTTGAGAACAAGGACTTTCTTCATCTTTATAATCCCAGTGTTTAGTGTACTATGTAATTAAGTAGTACACACAGTGCCATAGACTTCAGAGAAAAGGGATATTTATAATAGTCAGGCTAGGTTTCCTGGGTAAGTTAGGACTTAAACTCTGAAGAATGAATAGATCTTTTCTGAGTCAAGAAGAAGAAATTTTCCAATTGAGAGGAATGTTGAACACTAAGCCATGGAGCCTTAAATAAGCATAGCGTCTTTGTGGATCAGTGAGGGAACTGGCCTGTAAAATGGAGAGATTTTGTTGGGAAATAAAGTCGAGGTCAAATTATAGAAGGTCTTAAAAGAGTGTAGAGGCATTTCTATTTGAAACAGAGGAAAACATAATCATTAATTCTTTTGAATTAGATGAGAACCATGATGAAACAGATGTAAGAAAAATCAGTATTGTTATGGATGGAATAGGAGGAATATAGGTTAGACCAAAGGGAAAAGGTTGTCCCCAGTCTGTTACAGGAATCTGGAAATGAAATGATATAACCAATTTTAAGCATTTCTCATTCATTCATTTATTCATTAATTAAAGAATCTGTTGAGTTTTTATCATGTGTCAGGCACTTTCCAAGGAGCTGGGGATACAGAGATGAGCAAAAAAGGAAGAAAATTAAAGAATTTTATGACATAAAGGATAAAATAATGGGGAGTAAATTAAAATTTAAAATCTAACTTACTAGGATTGTAAAAATATGTAGACATATTGGAGGGAAACAGGCTCGCACCAAAAACAGAATCAAAGGTACATGAACAGTAATCCAATGGGGGGGTCATATTAACATTAAATGGTGTCCGCAAGAACAAAAATGTCTGCTTTTTTCCCCCATTTTCCAAATATTGTTTGCACACACTTAGAAGGAAACCTGCTAGCATTAGGATTATTCTCAAGAAGAGTAGCAGAGCTGTCAGACAACTACCTATATTTTAGTGACTTGGTAATTCAAGGAAATGATGAAGGTGCAAATTTAATTTGGTCAGGAAAGTTAGCAACACTACTTCTAACATGGGGGATCAAATGAGGAAACAAAGAAGGAGTTTTTGTTTTAACATTAAAATGTAAATTTAATAATGTGCATTTGAAAATCCTGGCATATTTTAAGCCTGCTGTTTTTCCCACTGACCTGATTGCCATTTATGTAAATACACTCGTGTTAGCAGATTCACATTTCTTCACTTCCTTTCCTATGACTGTTTTTCCTATAAGGACTGTTCTTAGAATGACATGGCATTTATTACCTTGGAATTGCTTGTGAATTGAATTGAGAGTATAGTCATTGTGGCAAACTACTGCTGTAACCTATTCATTGTGGCTGCCAAAGTGTTTGTGTGTGTTGGGAGCAGGGACATAGAGGGGGTTAGGTCTGTTCTCATAGAACCTACAGTATAGTGGATGACATATTTATACAATAATTACACAAGTAATGTAGAATTATAACCCTGTTAAAGGCTATGAAGGATCAGTACAAGAACTTTATAGTGGGCATTGCTGACGCTGTGATACTTGAGGTTGGGTTTGAAGAAGGAGCAGGAGGTTATTAAAGGAAGAAGGATAAGAGCATTCCAGGCTGAGGAGCCAGCAAACAACATCTCTGTGATGGAAACGGCATGTTAAGAATGGAAAGAAGGTCTGTAAGGCTGGATTGCAGGGAGGATAGAGTTGGTATAATATGAAGAAGCAGAGTAAGAATTTTGTCCTTTATTCTCAGAACAATAGGAAGCCATTAGAGTGTTGTACTGTGTGTGTGTGTGTGTGTGAGAGAGAGAGAGAGAGAGAGAGAGAGAGAGAGAGAGAGAGAGGGAGGGAGAGAGAATATTAAATTTGCATTTAAGAATCACTCTATTGAAGGATGGATGGAGAAGGGACAAGAGGGCCAGAATAGATATGCAGCAAAACCAGTTTGGAAGCTATTACAACAATTTAGGTGAGAGAATGATGGTAACTTGGACTAAGATGGTGGCAATGGAGATGGAAAGAAAAAGGTGGATTTGATAGATATTTAAGAGGTAAAATTGGTAAGGCGTGTGATGGATTAGATATGGGAGATGACAGGAGAGGAAGATTGTCAAGGATGATGCCTAGGTTTCTGGTATGTACAAATGGATTCTGGTCCCATTAATGAAAAAAGAGATAATGAAAAAGGCCCAGCATTAGTGGGGGAAAAGCATGAGTTGTATTTGGCTTATCATGGAGGCAATTAGATAGGTGGGTCTGGAACTCAGAGGATATGTATCATGGAAAGTTGCTATTATTTTTGACTTCCCAGCACTTAAATCCACTTCCTGTGTTTGGAGAATTTCCTACCTTAGCAGTCTGAGAGGAAGAATAGATGGAACATATGACCACACTTCTCCAATCAAATGTGCCCATCCAAAAATTTGAGTAGGGAACAAGTGACACAAGGAAGTGTCTAGGAAGAATCCCCTCTGGCAGTAGTGGCAGTTAACATAAGATCAAATCTGTAGAGCAGTTGTGGTAGTGGTGGTAACCGAAGCATTTCATGCTGGTGGTAGTAGTGTGAGCTGCAGCTCTTGGTTGTGGGTATGGTGCTTTGACCACCAGTTCTATGATATAAGTTTGGGCATTGCTCCTTGCTCTGTTGCCTCTGAGCCTGGGGATTTTGTAATAGCAGTATCCTTTTAACAAATCTGACTTTTTTCTTAAATCAGCCAGAATCAACTTCTGCTGTTTCCCACTAAGGACTTGGATTGATATGAGAAGTCTGGGCTAGAGATATACATTTATGAGTTATCTGTATACTGATTGTATTGGAAGCTGTGGACAGGAATGAGATTACTTAAAGTTGGAAGACAAAATGAGAAAAAGGCTAGGATTCAGCCTAAGAAATTTATAACATTTAATAACTAAGTAGAAGAAGATGAACTTGAAAGAGGAGATATAAATTATTAGAGAGAGGAGAAAAATCAGGTAAATACTGTATCTTAGAAGCCAAGATGATGTTGATTCTCACTTTACGTTTGAGGAGATTGAAGCTTAGGTTAGAAATTTGCTCAAAGTTTTGACTTAACAAATGACAGAACCAGAAGTTGAATTTGTATCTGACTAAAAGACTGTTTATAGAGTTGATTGGATGTATACAAGGGATGTATCAAAGAAAAAAATCAACAAGACTTTGTGAATAATTAGTTATAAGAGATGAAGGGAGTAATGAGTCATATAAGATACCAACTTTTCGTGTATTTATTTTGGGAGAATTATTTGTCACTGAGACAGGTATGTTAGAGGAAGAGGAAGAGATAATTTTGCATTTGGATCAGATTGAACCCAGGTTGATGAAAAGCATGTAAATATAAATATTTGGATAACTCTCAGATAATAGGATAGGACTGTAAATATGGATTTGGGAGTTTTAAATGCAGAAGTCATAACTGAAGTCATTATGGATGTAATATCCGAAGAAAAGAGTATAGAGAAGGGTAGAGTTAAAGAAAAAGCTTTGATACGAATCCATACTTGGGTACTGATGGTGAGAGGGAAAGAAGTAGAAGCCAAAATCAGGAAGGCAGGTAGGAAAAGTAGGAGAACTAGAACAAGTTTTGAAAAATGCTGAAGGCAAAATTGAATTTTGGTGATTGACGCGAGTGCTTTTTACTACGACGTTCAAGTTAATATTAATTTTATTGCTGTTCTCCAAAATACTTTTTAAACTCTTACGTTACAAGAGGAATGAATAGTCAAAAAACACTTGTCTTCGACACAACGGGAGAGCACTGGCGAGGCTCGCTCCTCCCGTCGGGGCCGTGCTGTGCCTCCAGGGCCCGCTCGGGGTCGCGAGGAGCGGTGCCGGCTTCCCGGCGGGAAGGGGCGGTCCCCGCACGGCTGGTCTCGCGGGGAGTTAGATCTCGCTCTCCGCGTGATCTGCCGCTCCCGCCGCGGGCGTCGCGTGGCCGAGGGGGCGTCGGGCCGGTCAGGGTCGGGACCTGTAGTCGCGTCCCCTGAGGTCGGGACACCGAGTGGAGGGAGCCTGGGAGGGCAGGGCGTGGCCGTCCGAGTCCCAGAGGGGCGGTGAGGTGGGACAGGGAGCTGCGTGTGGCGGTTGCTCCCTGGGCAGGGGCTGTGAGGGGCTGGGGGCCAGCCGGCCGTGTCCCTGGAGGACGGCCGCAGGTCGCGCGTTCTGGGCGCTTCCCGGCGCGTGGCCTCGTCGTCGGCCACGCGGTCCCCCGAAGCTGTGGGCGCCGCCGTCGCGCGGCTGGGGTGTTGGGGGCGGGCTCGGGCGAGGGGACGCGAGTAGCTGTGGAGTGTCGTCCGCGAGCGAGCTGCCCGCTTCAGAGTGCGCGGGAAGGCCCCGCCTCGAACCCGCGGCGGCGAGCGCTCCGCGACCGGGCGGTCCTGTGAAAACTCCGCTGTCTGGATGTTTGGCGGTGAACTCCTAAGTGTACAGCTGCGCTGTCCCTGTAGGGTTTACCTCGCTGTGGGGGTAGGACTTTCTTTACAATCTTGCTACGCCGAGAAAGGACCATTCCGAGTGGTCTTCATTTTGAAGGGCAGATCCTCTTGGGAAATCTGGGCGTCTGTGGAGCCCGGACTACGCGGTAACATTGCAACACCACGTCCCCGCCCCCAGTCTCAGCCGGGCCGCGACGAGTTTAAGTGGGGACCGCTGGCCCGCGCCGGAGGGCCTCCCCCTCCCGGCTCCCCTCCCCCTCCCGTGCCCCTCCCCCTCCCGCCTTCCCTCCCCCCCTCCCCCTGCCGCTCCCCCCTCCCCCTGCCGCTCCCCCTCCCCTCCCCGTACCCCTGGTCCCCCTCCCCCTCTCCCCCTCCCCCCTCCTGGCCCCGCCCACGTGCGTTTGCAGCGGCACCGGGTTCACAGGGTGGGTGGTGAATAGTAGCTGCTGTGCGTACAACTTCAGAAAATCCTTCCTTATAATTTTTTTTTTTAAACATAGTATCCAAGATGGATGACAACCTATTTGTCAGTTTGGACAGACTTTTGCTAGAATTTGGTAGGTATGAAAAGAAAATAAAGAAATAGATAACTATTTGTATTATCACTTGACATTTTAACAATGAAGTCACAAAAGAATTATTTTAGTTTTCCAGTATGAGCAAGATATAAGTACTAAAGAAGATATGATTCAGCGAATTAATAGTAAGTAGTTTTGCATGATAAAGGTATTTTAGTTTTTAAATTATTTATGGCCTATAAGATAATATGCAGTTGCCTTGTTTAGGGCAACTTATCGTTGGTGTTATAACTTCTGTGCCAGTTCTATCCAGTGACTAATAATGAGCTATTTACCCTATCTGTAGTTTTTCAATAATCAATTTTTGTGTTCAGCATTTAATTATTTTATGTTGAAGAATTTTGCTTTAAGCAGAAATGACCTCTTAAGTGCAATTGAGAATGTTATTTTTCTCAAATTACGCAGATTATTTCAAACATTTGAATAAAAATTTTAAATCTTTTTAGAAATCCCCAGAGGTCAGGAGCCGGGATTGATGGAAGCCACATTTTCAGGAATAATAATTCTGAAAAATAATATTATGAGTGAAATGGCAAAGTATATTACATATTACATAGTTACAAATTATGATTTCTACCTGAAGAAAATAAATATTTCTTCTTTCCAGAATGTGTTGAAGATATTAAGGAAAACAAAGCAACTATTTGTAAGATACATGAAACTATAAATACAACAGATGAAGAGATTGGTCATTACTGTAAACATAGTAAGGAGATCAAAGACAACTGTAGTAAGTAAGTATTTGAAAGAAATGAGCTTTCGGTAATTGTCACTAGATTCTTTTATTCAAGGTTTCTGAGTTTATAGTTGAAGACACTGTTGCTTTAAAGTAGAATTTTGTATTAGAAAAATGATGAATCAGATCTTCAGTTGCCGTGTTACGTGCCACTGTGGAAAGGGATCCTGAGAGGTTCAAAAGAAAGATAGAAGTGAGTACTGTATGATCTAATTCAGATCCAATTAGTCTAAATACATAATTTTGAATAATCTGGACTCAGTATATAAAATTCCTACTAAATAGATAAATTTGAAATAATTTCTGTCTTCGTATTTTCAAGATCTTATTTTTGTTTGGGGAATCTAACCTAAAATTAGTAGCTTTTCAAAATAAAAGTTTTCAATATGTTACGAATTCTTTCAACATGGCTTCAGCTTCTGGATTCTGCTGGTTAAATCTGTTATAAAACAAACACATTTTGAAACAAAGACTTGTTAATGTAACTTTATTGTATATTACAGATACTTAGAAAAATAAAACGTGGCAGTTTTCTATACTTAATTTTATGTGGACCATTGTCTTTGTATTTAGTACTATACTTTAGAATCATACTTGTTTCAAAATATTTTTTTACTCTAAATTTTAGTAAGCCTTTTTGGCTTTTCCCCATTACCTTTTTTATACTGGTTTAAAAATTTTATAAAAGTAGCACATACCTAGTATAAAAGTTTAAAAACTATACAAATATATGGAGTAAAAAGCTTTTCCCTGACTGCAATCCCCATCCCCACCCTGTCTTCTTCCTTAGAGGTGATCACTCTTAATGGTTGTACCGTTTCAGAACTTTTTCAATGAATATTCAACACCATTATTACATATACTTATATACACATCTATTTACATAGCTATCTTTCCTTTTTACCAAAGTGGGATCATACCATACTTATTCTTCAAATTGTTTTTTTAATTTAACAATATACAATGTAAATGATACTGCATGTATAATGATTATGTATAGATTTCATTCTCTTTTAACAGCTCCATAGTATTTTATTCTGTTGATGTATCGTAAGTTATTTAACTTTGCTCTTATTAACAGACATTTAGGTTGTTTCCAGTTTTTCCCTGTTATAAGCAACATGTACAGGTAATCCTTCCACATTTATAGACCTGTTGCTACAGAATGAACTCCTAGAAGTGAAATTGCTAGATCAAAGAGTATGCACGTTTAAACATTTGATAGATAATGCCAAACTGCTCTCCAAGAAGAGCATACCAATTTATAGTCCCACCAACAGTGTGTGTTCCTATTCCCTCACACCCTTGCCGACAATGGAGTTATCAATGTTTGCATGTTTTGGGAATCTGATCAACAAAAAACTATATATTGTTGAACTTTTCCTTTTATTTTCATTTAGATTTTATTGTAGTAGGTTTTACTAGTGGTTTCTCTCAATTAGCTGCATTGGGTCCTGGAAAAGTACTGATGGTTTCCACTTAGAACCTGCTTTGTCCAAATGCACTGTACTTTATACAAGCTTAATCTCTGCTGGGTTCTGAGGACGGTTAGTAGGATCTGTTCATTTTAATACCACGAATAACTCTAGTTCATGATTTCAGCATGCTGATTAAGAGATTTAAATGAGAAATATGGATTTATGAAAGTACTAGAGGAAAATATAGGTGACTATATAATTTTTGAGAGGAGAAGGCCTAAGTATGTCACCAAAGGTAGAAACCACATAGGAAACTGGATAAACACGGCTATATACAAACTAAACAGAAAAACATCCCAAAATGATATAAAAGGCAAAATGATAAGGTAGGAAAAATGTCAAATAAGGGCTAACTTTTAAAAATATAAAGTACTGGTGGAAATTAATAAGAAAAAACAAAAGCCCCATTAGAAAAATGAGCAAAGACAGTAAACAGGTAGATACCAAAATGAAGAGATGTATGTCTAATAAACATGTAAACCAATGCTCAATCTTAAAATCAGACACCCAAATTAAAGCAATAATAAAATGCTGTTTTTTTGCCTTTAAGTTTTGCAAAAATTTAAATTAAGATAATACTCAGTGTTGTCCAGGGAGTAAGAAAATTACCTCTCTCATACGCTGTAGGAATATACAGTGGTGTAGACTTTTTGGATGACATGTCAGTATAGTTTTTAAAAAGTTATAAAAAATAAGCATGACTTTTGATTAAATGGTTTCATTTCTGATAATTTTTCCTAAGGAAATAATTAGGCATTCTCTCAAAGATGTAATGTACAATAAGGTATTTGTTTCAGCCTTTTTTTTCTGATAGGAAAACACTGGCAGCATCTCTAATGTTCAACATTAGGTGATTGGTTAAATGAATTTTGGTGTATCAGTATGAATAAACAGTAGGCAGCCAATAAAATTATGATATGTCTATATTTATTGACATGGAAAGATGTTAACAATATATTACAAATTGAACAAAGCAATAAAACAACATTCATAGTATGAGCCCAATTTAGTAATTGTATATTTATATATAATTAGAAAAAGTCTAGAAATATGTATATCAAAATGCTTACAGTGAATATCTTTTCAGTGAACATGTATTACTTATGGAATTTTTTAATACTCGGAATATATGTATGTATAACCTTTGACCTTACAATTCCATTTTTGGGGAATATTTTCTAAGGCAACGATTAGATTAGACAAATATTTAAGTTCTGTTTACAATAGAGAAACTTAGTTTAAACAAAAATGGCCAAGAATAGGGCCAGCCCCAGTGGCCTAGTGGTTGAGTTTGGTGCACTCCACTTTGGCGGCCCAGGCCTGGTTCCCAGGCGTGGGCCTATGCCACTCATCTGTCAGTAACCATGCTGTGGCAAGGGCTCACATACAAAAAGGAAGACTGGCAACAGATGTTAGCTCAAGCGAATCTTCCTCAGCAAAAATCAGCAAAACAAAAAAGAGGCCAAGAATATGAGTATGGTTAGATAAATTATGGAACATAATGTATTTATTAAAACCTTTACAATGAATTCTTAGTGACAAGGAAAACGTGTATAATTTAAAAGCAAGTGATAAAGGAGGCTATATTGTTATATGTGAATATGATCTCAAAGATGTTAAAGTATATACTTATAGTAAAATCTGGAAATAATTTATTAAAACAATAGTAATTATTGTTTAGTGTTGAGAATATGGATGATAGTTATTTTCTTACGTATACTTTTCTGTGCTTCCAAAATGGGCATGCATACTTTTTGAATCTGAAAAAGTTAAAAAGATTAGAAAGGGCTAGAGGAAATATTTGAACAATATTTAGAATGGAAGCTGCCATGGTGTATGCTAACTTTAGATTTCTTACATTGGTAACATTCTTAGAGTCATAAAATGAAAAATGTATAAGATGAATCTTCGTTTTATTTTTACTATCTGATTTTATAATTCATTTTGGCCTAGTTTCTTTCTTTTAGTTCAGGACGGTATAACAACCTAACTTTCTAAGTTTCAAAGGAGAAAAAAGCCTCTCTTTACCTTTATCCTAACTCTTTGAATGCTTACTCCAAAAGAATTTCTTAGCCAAGATCTTAGAAGTAAGATGAGAAAGAAAGCCTGATGTTGGAGTGTTGCAGAGTATAGTCTAGAAATGCCATAGCAATGCACAGTCCAGCCATGCCACATTTATTTCTTTCCTAATCATGATTCCAAAGCAGGTTTTATGCAAGAATTCATGGATATTGATATTTGAGCATATGTATGATTGCGTGAATGGTGGTAGTGGTAGTGATGGGAGATGGGAATATTTTTCTTGATGTAAGCTTGTTTACTCCAGGAAGAGAAAGATGTGTTTATCTTTAAATGGTTACATTCATTTTTATCTCTTAGAATTTGTTTATCATTCTGAGATGCTAATTACAATATTTTTTTTTCTGTAGCTGGAAGCCAACATGTGATGTTTTTCATAAACATGAAGACTATGTGCAGGACCAATTTACTATTTATCAAGAAACTGTTGAAAAAGACAAGTACAGTACATATATTAATTTAAACTTATCAATTCTATAAGTTAGTATTAATAGGATATGCTTTATAAAAATGTTAATTGAAAAATGTAGAAATTTTGTACACTGAGGGAGTGTTTTTGTTTTTTGCTTTTGCTTTTTAAAGTAAATCCAAGTGTTTTGGACTCTTTGGGTGCTGTTGGAGGCCTACTTATTTGTTATACAGCTCCAGCGAACCCTGGATGTGTTTAGATATGTCCTTAGATAGAAACTGTTTATTAGTAGCAATTATTATAGCAGAGTACTTAAATTAATAGTCTTCATGACTTAATTGTTATAGACAAACTTCTAGGGGAACAATTAGCTGTAGAATTACCTTATGAAAAATTTTGATTATTGACTTTTGAAGGTTGTTTTATATTAAACTTCTGTTTTTCAGAGTGCAAATTTAGTGAGGTATTATATCCTGATGGAGAAATACCTATCTTTGGTTTGTTTTATTATGTGTAAAATCACCTGGTCTTGGGGAATAAACATAATATAATGAATAAATATATAAACGAATATAAAATAAACAAGTGAATATAATGAAAGAAGGGGAAGGACTTTGAACACATAATATAACATTATAATTTCACTTAATTTAAAAAATTGAAATGTTTTTATTTTTAACGTAATTGGACAAGAGCAGTATCTACTTTTATTTTTTATTGTATTTTTATTTATTTATTTTTTACTACTTTCCCCCCAGCTTTATTGAGATATAATTGGCAAATAACAGTGTTTAAGTTTGGTGTACAACAGGATGATTTGATACGTGTATATATTGTGAAATTATTACCACAATAAGGGTTAAGTAACACATCTATCACCTCACATAACTTCTATTTTTTTTGTAGTGAGAACATTTAAGGTTTAGCCTCTTAGCAACTTTCAAGTATATGATACAATATTATATTCACCATGCTGTATATTAGATCCCCAGAACTTATTCACTTTATAACTGGAAGTTTGTGGCCTTTGATCAACATCTCCTCTTTCCTCCACTCCCCAGCCCCTGGCAACCACTGTTCTACTCTCTATTTCCATGAAATTGGTTTTTTTTAGATTTTACATGTAAGTGAGATCATATGGTATTTATCTTTCTCTGTCTGACTTATTCACTTAGCATAATACTCTCAAGATCCATCCATGTTGTCACAAATGGTAGGATTTCATTCTTTTTTTGTGACTCATATTCCATTGTTTATATTTACACCACATTTTCATTATCCATTCATTTGTTGTTGGGCACTTAGATTGTTTCCATGTCTTGGCTATTGTTAATAATGCTTCAATGAACATGGGGGAGCAAATATCTCTTTGAGATTGTGATGTGATTTCCTTCGAATATATGCCCAGAAATGAGATTGATGGATCATATGGTCATTCTATTTTTAATTTTTTGAGATATTTCCATACTGTTTTCTGTAGTGGCTGTACAAATTTACATTCCTACCACCAGTGCACAACGGTTCTCTTTTCTCCACATCCTTGCCAACACTTATCTTTTGTCTTTTTGATAACAGCCGTTCTAGCAGGTGTGAGGTGATAACTCATTGTGATTTTGACTTGCATATCTCTGATGATTAGTGATGTTGAGCATCTTTTCACTTGATTTTTGACCATCTGTATGTCTTCTTTGGGAAAAGGTCTATTCAGGTCCTCTGTCCATTTAAACTTAGATTATTATCTTTTTGCTATTGGATTGTATGAGTTCCTTAAATTCATTCCTAAATATTTTATTGTTTTTGCTGCTATTGTAAATGGGATTGTTTTCTTTATTTCTTTTTCAGATGGTTCATTGTTAGTGTATAGAAATGCACCTGATTTTTGTATGTTGGTTTTGTATCCTAAAACTTTAGTGAATTTGTTGATTAGTTCTAATAGTTTTTTGGTGAAATCCTAGAGTTTTCTATATATAAGATTATGTCGTTTGCAAACAGACACCATTTTACTTCTTTTTTTAATTTGGATGCCTTTTATTCCTTTTTCCTGCCTAATTGCTCTAACTAAGACTTTTAGTACTATGTTGCATAGGAGTAGTGAGAGTGGAACCCTTGTCTTTCCTGATTGTAGAGGAAAAGTTTTCAGCTTTTCATCATTGAGTAGGATGTTAGTTGTGGGCTTGTCATATATGGCCTTTATTACATTGAGGTATGTTCTTTCTATACCCAATTTGTTGAGAATTTTTATCATGAAAGGGTGTCGAATTTTGCCAAATGCTTTTTCTACATCTATTGAGAGGATCATATCATTTTTATCCTTCATTCTGTTAGTGTGGTATATCGTGTTTATTGATTTGTGTATGTTGAACCATCCTTGCACTCCAAGGATAAATCCAACTTGGTTATGGTGTATGAGCCTTTTAATGTGCTGTTGAATTCTGTTTGCTAGTATTTTGTTGAGAATTTTTGCATCTATATTCATCAGGGATATTGGTCTGTAGTTTTCTTTTCTTAGCGTCCTTTTCTGACTTTTCTTTTCTCTAGTGTCCTTATCTGACTTTGATGTCAGGGTAATGCTGGCCTCGTAAAATGAGTTGAAAAGTGTTCCTTCCTCTTCAGTTTTTTGGGAGAATTTGGGAAGAATCCGTATTAATTCTTCTTTAAATGTTTGGTACAATTTATTAGTGAAACCATCTGGTCCTGGGCTTTTCTTTGTTAAGAGTTTTTTAATTACTGCTGCAATCTTCTTACTAGTAATTGATCTTTTCAGATTTTCTATTTCTTCATGATTCAGTCTTAGTAGGTTGTATATTTCTAGAAATTTATCCATTTCTTCTAGGTTATCTAATTTGCAGTCATGATTGTTCATAGTAACTAACCTCTTATGATCCTTTGTATTTCTGTGGTATCAGTTGTAATATTTCCTCTTTCATTTATAATTTTTTTGAATCCTCTTTTTTTTCCTTGGTTAGTTGAGCAAATTTTATTTATCTTTAAAAAAACCCAACTCTTTATTTCATTAATTGTTGTTTCTATTGTCTTTCTTGTCTCTATATTTATTTCTACTGTAATCTTTGTTATTTCTTTCCTTCTGCTAATTTTCAGCTTACATTGTTCTTTTTCTAATTCCTTGAGGTGTAAAATTAAGTTGTTTATTTGAGATCTTTCTTTTTTTTTTAATGTAGGCATTTATTGCTATAAATCTCCCTCTCAGAACTTCTTTTGCTGCATCCCATAAGTTTTGGTATATTGTGTTTTCATTTTCATTTGTCTCAAGATATGTTTTGATTTCTCCTTTGATGCAATGTTATTCAGTAATGTGTTGTTTAATTCCTATGTATTTGTGAGATTTTCCATTTTCCTCCTGCTATAAATTTCTAGTTTTATATCATTGTGGCCAGAACAGATCTTACTATAATTTCAATCTTCATAAATTAGTTAAGCCTTGATCTGTTGCCCAATATATGATCTATCCTGGAGAATATTCCATGTGTACTTTAGAAGAATGTGTATACTGCCGTTGTTAGATGGAATGTCCTGTATATGTCTCTTAAGTCCATTGGTTTATAGTGTTATTCCAGTTAATTATTTCCTTATTAATTTCTGTCTGGATGATCTTTCCCATGTTGAAAGTAGGGTATTGAAGTCCTCTACCATTATTGTATTGTCTTCTATTTCTCCCTTCAATTCTGTTAATATTTGCTTAAAATATTTAGGTTCTCCAGTGTTTGGTACATATATATTTGCAATTGTTATATCCTCTCAGTGATTTGACCTCTTTATCATTATATAGTGACCTTCTTGGTCTCTTGTGACTGATTTTGACTGAAAGGCTCTTTTATCTGATATAAGTATAACCACTTCTGCTCTCTTTTTGTTACCATTTGCATGGAACTTCTTTTTCCATCCCATCATATTCAGCCAATGTGTATCCTTAAAGCTAAAGTGAATTTCTTGTAAGCAGCATATTGTTGGATTTTGTTTTTTTAATCCATTCAGCCACTCTATGTCTTTTGAATTTAGTCTGTTTACATTTAAAGTAATCATTGATAGCTAAGGACTTATTATTGCCATTTTAGTTGTTTTCTCATTTTCTTTTTTAGTTCCTTTCTTTCTCTGTTGCTGTCTTCCTTTGAGACTTATTTTTTGTAGTGCTATGCTTTGATTCCTTTCTCTTCATCTTTTGTGGATCTACTATAGGTTTTTTTTTCATAGTTACCATGAGGCTTACATATAATATTGTACAGATGTAACAGACTGTTTTAAGCTGATAACAGCTTACCTTCAATTGCATATAAAAACTCTACACTTTTATTTCTCCTCACCCTACCTTGTATGCTGTTGATGTCATACTTTGCATCTTTTTATATTGTGCATCCATTAAAAAATTATTGTTGCTATAGTTATTCTTTATATTATTGTTTTTATACTTTAATACTAGAGATAAAAGTGGTTTACATCTATCATTTTTTATATTATTGTTTTTAAACTTTTATATTAAAGATAAAAGTGAATAACACAGTATCATTACAGTATTATGGTATTCTGGATTTGACTATATATTCACCTTTACCATTGAATTGTTTACTTTTATATGTTTTTGTGTTGTTACTTAGCATTCTTTCCTTTCAAATTGAAAAACTCCCTTTAATATTTCTTTTGAGGCAGATCTAGTGGTGATGAGCTCCCTTAGCTTTTGTCTGGGAATGTCCTTATCTCTCAAGGACAGTTTTGCTGGGTATAGTATTCTTGGTTGGCAGTTTTTTCTTTAAGCACTTTGAATGTATGATCCTGTTCTCTCCTGGCCTGCAAGGTTTCTGCAGGGAAATCTGATAATGTTATGGGTGTTCCCTTATTGTGATGAGTCATTTTTCTCTTGGTGCTCAAAATTTTCTCTTCATCTTCGACTTTTAACATTTGGATTATAATGTGTCTTGGAGTAATCTTTGGGTTGATCTTGCGTGGAGTCATTAGAGCTTTCTGTACCTGGATGCCCATCTCTTTCCCAAGATTTGGGAAGTTTTCAGCTATTATTCTTTAAATAAGTTTTCTGCCTCTTTCTCTCACTCTTCTCCTTCTGGGACTTCCATGATGTGAATGTTCACTCATGTAGCAATGTTCCAGAATTCATGGAGATTTTCTTCACTCTTTTTCATTCTTTTTCTTTTTGTTCCTCCAACTGGCTAATTTCAAATGAACTGTATTTGAGTTTACTGCATCTGTCTTTTGCATAATCAAGTCTGTTGTTGATGCTTTTTATTGAATTTTTCAGTTCTATCATTGTATTCTTCAGCTCCAGGATTTCTGTTTGGTTCTTTTCTATGGTTTCTTTTTTTTTTTAGTTAAACTTCTCATCTTGTTCATGCATTGTTTTCCTGATTTTCTTTAGTTGTCTGAGTTGTCTTCCTTTTATTGAGTTTCTTTAAGATGATTATTTTGAATTCTTTCTAAGGCAAATTGTAGAGCTCCATTTCTTTGTGGTCAGTTACTGAAACTATTACTTTTCTTTGATGCTGTCCTGTTTGCCTGATTCTTCATGATCTGTGTAGACTTGCATTGATGTCTGTGCACTTGAATGAACAAACACCTCTTCCAGTCTTTAAAGACTGATTTTGGCAGGTAAAGACCTTCTCCTGTTGGTTTCCTGGGCTGGTGGAATTACCTCTCGAATTGCCGTCATGCTAGGTTGAAGCTGGTTTTGAGGCTGTTGCTGGGTCTGCAGTGGGATCCACAGTTCGTGTGCTTGTAACCAGCGGCTCAGGCAGGTATGAATCCTGTCTGGTCCCTGGGTAGATGAGACTGTGTCTAGTACCTTGGTTAGTAGGATAGCACTGGGACAAGCAGACAAGGGTTCCATAGTTGAGTCCTCAGTTAACAGGCCTCTTACCAAGTGTGTGGACAGGTGTGGCTCCCATCGGGTCCCTGGAGGGGCTTCTGCCTGGTCACTGGATGGGTCCATGGGTGGTCAGCACTGGCCCTGGACTGTGGCTGAGAGGGGCTTGAATTGAGCCTGAGGGCTGTTTCAAGTTCCACAATCAAGATTGAGGCCTGCAGTCCTGGCTCTGGAGGCACAGATAAGAATATCTCCCACCAGGTCCCTGGGCAGGCTGGGCTGATCCCTAACAGCAGCTGGAGGGGCTGGAGCCAAAAATAGGGCCTTTTTGAGATCTCCAGGGGTAGATATAGGAGTATCTCCTTCAAGGTCCTTGGACCAGAAGGTCTGCTGGGGGCCCTCAGCAGTGAGGGGCCTAGAGCCAAGGATAGGATCCTGCAGGATCTGTGGGGGTGCAGATGGTAGTATCTCCTGCTGGAACCCTGAACCCTCAGTACTGCTGACAAACCATAACTGTTAGGGGCTGGAACCAAGTATAGGCCTTTTTAGGATTTTCAGGGGCAGAGGCAGGAGTGTCTCCTGCTGGGTCCCTATGCCAGCAAGACTCCAGTAACTGTGGCTGGGTTGGGCTGGAGCCCAGTTACAGGACCCTTTCAGAATCTACAGTCTGATGAGTTTGCAGGCTCACCTCTAGGGGCTCCCAGACTGTGGCCACAAGGGGCTGGAGTCAGTTCGTGGGCCACTTCAGGGTCTGCAGCCAGGACTAGGGTCTGTATGCTTATTACCTGACACATGGGTGGGTATGACTCCTCCCAGGTCCCTTGATGTATGGTGCTAGTGACAGACCAAAGCCAAATGGGACTGTAGCTGAGTTCTCTGGGATACAGAGCTGTTTCTAGGTCTCTAGCCAGGACCGTAGTCAGTGAGTTAGCCACCAGGATGCGAGCTTGCCTTCTCAAAATGGCTCTCCTCAGTCTGGGACTGTACCAGGGTTTCACAGTCTCCTACCTGGATCCCAAAGCTCCCACAACCTTTTGTCCCTGGATGGAGGCCACATTATTATTGTTGATGGACTGATATGCACAAGCAATGTTTTATTCTGCCATTTTGCTGACATCACTTCTATTTTTATATTTTAATTAAAAACACACACACAAAACTTAGAATGCAATTCTCTTTATATTCAAAGATGGGTCTTAAGAGAAGGTAGGGACTGAAGGTATAGATTTGGGCTTCATTGGCATTTGAAATCATAGAAATAGATGAAATTCCAAGGGAAATGTATAGAGCAAAAAGAAGTAGAAGCTAGAGTATATAATCATCCAAGGAATAGGCAGAGGGTGGAATTAGTGAAGGAGACTGTTACTTTGTCATTATAGACCCTGTTCCAATCCAAAAAAAGGATTCGAGATGATTTGTATAAATAATACCGTAGTGTTAGCAGAAAACTAGATATAAAAATCAAAGCTACAGGGAAGTAAGGATAATATAGGAAGATGAAGCCTTTGCTTAGGATAGAAATTCATACTGTATGGTCTTGCACATTTGTTGGACATAGGCACAAATTAGGCTTTAAAATTCCTCGTAGTAGACAAGGCATTGTGGAAATGTGATAGGTTTGAGATTCAGAGTATTCATGTAAAAAACAGTTCAATTGCTTAAGATAAGCAGAGGTTTTTCCTGGTACTGAGACTTGAAAGAAATTTCTCCCATGAGTTCCTCACAAAGGGGAACTTATGCAATGTGGTAGTGAATATCTGCAGTGGCCTCCCCCAAATAAACACAATATATATTACTGCTTCTTATAATGTCTCTCAATGCAAGCCATGGCTATAAAATATTGTTTAAAAAATGCTTCTATGAAGGACTCAAGCAAACCAGTCCAAATACTACCTCTCTGATAATGTTTTTGTGGATGACTTAGCCAGAGGTATTAAGGTGAAAACAGCTATATCTTTCTTTTTTAAATTAGCCATGTATCAGTTGATTGACTTGATGATGAATACCAGGCATTTATAAAAGGAAAAGTGTCCATTTGTTGCTATTATAAGTAATGAAGGAGGTAGAAGTACCAGCTACTTGTTTTTGCTAATCTCCCCTTCCTGTCGCAGGCATTTGCAAAGACTAGTATTGCTGGCCACAGATGAGATAATAGTGGTTCATGACTTGGCTATGCTGGGATCTGCCAAAGTTCGTGTACAGAGTATCTTAGAAGAGAGGGCGTGAATATACAATAGGAACAGGATAGATGTGGTATGCTAATCTCATCTGGAACTGGTGACCCAGACTTAGTTTTCTTATATTTATTTCCCTCCTCCCAGGACCATTTCTTCAAGAGGTGGGGGCTTAATTAGCAAATATACATTAGAGGAATAGGAGCTTGTTTTGGGCTCAACTGCCTTATCTTGCTAAAGGGGACAGAGTTTAGTAATATTAAGAAATTAAAACATTCTGGGGCCGGCTCTGTGGCCGAGTGGTTAAGTTCGTGTGGCGGCCCAGGGTTTGGATCCTAGGTGTGGACACGGCACCACTCGTCAGGCCACGTTGAGGCGGCGTCCCACATCCCACAACTAGAAGGACCTGCAACTAAGATATACAACTGTGTACGGGGGTGGTTTGGGGAGATAAAGCAGGAAAAAAAAAAAAGATTGGCAACAGTTGTTAGCCCAGGTGCCAATCTTAACAACAACAACAAAAAAATTAAAACATTCTTAAGATTCAGACCTGCTGACCAATATAAGGTTGTTATTCTTACTTTTCTTCTCCCTCTTCAGGCAGTTTATTAATACTTCTTTTTCTTTTCTCGTCTGCTAATGAGATAATCATTACAGTATCTTTTAAGAAATTCCTCTATATAGTATGGCTTGATTTAGAAAATTTATAAAATTTTGAGGAACATAAGGGCTGTATATTATTAGAAAAATTTCTATGAATATTATTTCTTGAAACTAAGTATTTGATAAGAATTGGGTAAAAAGAGGATCCAAGAAAATGTTTTCTATGGTGAACCTGGCTTGAACATTTTCAGTGTTGTAGACCAGAATTGGCAAACTTTTATAACAGGTCAGATACTAAATATTTTAGGCTCTGTGGACTATACAGTCTCTGTTGTAACTATTCAACTCTGCTATTGTGTTGCAAGAGCAACTTTAGACAATACATAAGTGAATGACTGTTCCATTAAAACTTTATTTATGGACATTACAGTTTGAATTTCATGTAATTTTAATGTGTCGTGAAATCTTCTTCTTTTGGTTTTTTCAATCATTTAAAACTGTAAAAACCATTCTTAGCTCATGGGCCATACAGAAACAGGTGGCAGGTTAGATCTGGCCCTTAGGTTATCGTAACTGACCCCTATCGTAGATCAAGCAAAGGTCAAATGAGAAGGAAGAATTAATATCTTTTTGCAAAAGAAAAAATTAACCATCCCACTCAAGACTTGTGCCTAAGTAGACGACCACTCACCTCTACGTGAGTTGAACTGGAGGAGTTCCTCCAAACAGTGCTGAAGTTTTCTTCATAAAATACTTACGGGGTGTACAAGAATGATTGTGAACTCAGAGTTCTAACACACAGAACATGACTTCATGTGATAATTTTAGCGTAGAAAATTGAAGGAGATTTAAGAAGCATAGTTACAGAGGTTGCTGATCTGGGGAGAGTAGAGACTCAGAACTCAGGGAAGATAGAAATTCAAGAAGTGATGAAAAGAACCAGGTTCTGCAGTGTCAGTTAGGATGAGAACTAACAAGAGATCACTGAATTGGACAAATTAGATCATAGGTGACCTTAGGAAAGATAGTTTCACTAGAGTGGTGGGAGTGGAAGTTAAATGAAGAGGATTAAAGAGTGAATAACTGAGATAGTGAATAAAAACAGTAGAGAGTTGAAAAGTGTGATGGAGTTAAGGAAAATCTGAAGGGCAGACAGTATTGAGGGAAGCAGGGATAAGTAGATATTTGACTTGTCTTTTATGCTTAATTTAGTAAACTTTAACAAGTGCTGTTTAGAAAGTTTTAAATATACTCTTCTTATAGTTCATCATTTATTTTAATTTTAACAGAAAAATGTACCATGGTTATATATGTCAGTATAAAGATGTTTTGAAGCAATACCAACTAAAATACTCAGAAACACCCTTTTCACATGAATATTATGAGAAGAAAAGAGAACATGAAGAAATTCAAAACAGAGTGTTGGCATGTACTGAACAACTAAAAATGAATGAAACTATTTTTATGGAATTTCTAGGTATTAACATTTTTGTTATATATTATTTTAATTATGGCATTTTTGTAATGAAAAGAATATAATAAATCAGTCTAAAATATAATTTTTTTTTCAGTTCCTGCTCCCTTTCCATCACGTACTAAATGGACATTACATATGTATCCACAATAGTATTTCTACTTAAAATTTTTATTAGATAAGTATTATTTCTGTATTGTGTTATTGTGTTTCCCTGGTGAGAATCACATGGATTTGTTTTTTAATTCAAAACTTTTAGAGGTTACTTTAAAGATCATCTGGAATTAGTTTTCATATATGTGCATGTGATCAGAAACAAAGCAATTTTAATGAGGTAAAGTGGTATATGGATCTGCCTTTAAGTGGCATGTCTTAGCAACCAAACCAATGAAAAAGTCATCTTGCTCTGTCTTACCAAAGAAAGAGTACCAATTAAATCAATTGATCATTACTTGTTAGGATGGAAGGTGGTGAGGTGAGTCACAATTATTCATTCATCTATAGAAATTCATTGGGTACCTACTTCGTGCCAGGCAATACTTGAGAAGATACAGAGCTTTCTTGCAAGGAGCTCACAGTTTAGTAGAGGAGACAGACATGTAAACAAGTAATTCTAATACAGTGGCATTGTATTAGATGCTTAAGCAATTCTTAATTGGTCTTAGTCTTGTCTCTTTGTCAAGAAGATCTTCCCTCATGATGAACTTGGAACTTTAATCCTCTTGCAACCGCCACAATCCTTCATATGCTCTCCTATCAGATTATAACTCCACAGATTGCACTAAATCTTCTTTATCCCTGCATTCTACCTTGCTTCATTCTGCTTCATCCTAAATCATCCTTTTAGCTCCTTTGCTGCTTGCTCTCTCGATGTTTGGGTTTTAGCTTATTCTGTTCTTAGTTGTTCATTTGCTGCCCACCTGTATTTTAACTTCTCAGTGAAAAGGGGTAGAGGCTGGTAGATGCTGAAGGTACAGCAGGGGTTTAGGGAGTTGGATGTAGGATGGGATGAGATGTAGGATTGTATGACAAACAAGAGGAAGTGAGGGAGATAGAATCGAAGATTAGAATTTAAATGTCTATGTATAAAAATTTAAATTGATACTTTTGATAACAACATAGCATTATAAATAATGTTCATCTGAAATTTTATGTCCTAGCATATAAATCACTTTGTGAGGCAGAATAGGAAAGGTCTGATAGGTTTTGTCTGGAGATTTTCCACTAGAAGATCACTACCAGTATCACTAGAAATAGTTCAGTAACCTATTCATTTTCAAGTTCTCCTAAATGGATTGTAGAGTAACCTGGGAAATTGTAGTAGCTAATAACCATGCAGGATGTCTGTTAACAGCTGAGAAATTCTCTACTTGAAGTTCAGTATAAATCCACTTTAAGCAGAAAGTCCAGATGGAAGATCTAGCTGTCTTCTGAGTTCTGCAGGGTGCCCTGAATAATCTTACACAGCAAGAAAAGGGAAATTGGGTGGACTTTTTATGTTGATTTTGGAACAAATAAATGATGGAAACACAAGGAGTTAAATTTGGACCTGAATTGATTATGTATTATTAGTCATACCAAATGACTAATAATAGCAAAAAACTACCCTATGAAAATATTTAACTGAAAGAAAAAATCCAAACAAATATTTCAGATGAAATGTTATTTTTAAGCTCAACATATAACATAGATAAACAACAGATTGTCTTTGTCAGTTTGCCATATGTTTATATTAGCTTTACTTCTGTTTTCAGATACTGTTGTTATTATTGCTTATTGCTTATGTGGAAAACATATAAATAATGTTTCATAATATTATTTCTGATAAAGTATATATACTATAAATGTAAAATTTACTTGTGGAACAAAGTTCCTTAACATAAAAGTGTTAATTTGAGATATAAAACACAAGATATTCTTAAACTTGCCAACAATTTTTCCAAAAGTTCATCTGAATTGAAGAAAGAAGTAGATGAAATGGAAATAGAAATTAATTATTTAAACCAGGTATATATATTGTTACATGTTTCTAGTATTTGTATTAATGTGTAAGTGTAATGATATGTTAGTTGACTGTCTGAGAAGGGCTATTCTAAACAGCCTGGATATGGAGGAAAGCTTATGATAATTTATTTGTGTCAGATTACCTTTGGAGCCAAAATGTGTCTTAGCTATTGGGTATACTCAACTCTTGAGTTTTGGGGAATAGTTTAACTTTATTTGGGGGCCAAGGAAAGAAGATGAGGAAAGAACAGCATGTTGCTTAATAATAGGAATTTAAAGGCATTTAAAAAGCTACAACAGTGTTGTCATGAAAGAGAACAAGACTGTAAATGGTTTCAAGAACTTAATCTTGAAACGTTATGACTTTAATCTTTATACGACTAGGCTAGAACTAATATAGCCTTTAAGATTGATACTACATGATATTTTCTTGAATATATTTTTAGTTCATCTATTGAAATGTAGCTTTCATTGACAGGTATGAGAACCCATCAAAGTCACTTCCGAATTTTGAGGAAAAAACAATAGCTAATTTTCTAAATTTTTTGAAAATTGTGTTAAAGATGATATATTCATCATCATTGGTGTGAGGTTCCAAACAACAGTAATAGCATTTTAGTAATGAGAAGAAATTATACTTCCTTTAAAATATATGGTAACTAGGTCTCTATGTAGGAAATCAATGCTACTTGGCTTCTATTGTGTTTAAAAAAGAGGATGGAAATTCATTGAAATCTAGGTTTGCTAGTGGTGTTGTAAGGAAAAGTTAAAGGAGTATGACTTATTGTTAATTTTGACTCTGTTAATTGTTAATTTATTGTTAATTTTAGCAACTTTCGCTGAAAGCTAGCTAATACTACCAGAAATATAAACCTAGTGATTATATAGAAAAAATCATATTCATTAGTTAAGATAAAGCATATATTCCTTAATGCTTTGCAGATAATTACTTTGTTTTGCTTTGTCATTTTTCTTTTTAGCAGATTGCAAGACTTTATGAAACTAAGAATCTCTCAGAAACTTTGGAAGAAAAAAATAAAAATATAGAAAAGAAAAAGGAATTGAAAGAAAGGTATAGGTAAACTTTAAAATGGGATTTTATGTGAACAGGTATTCTGCATCTAAAACTTTGATTCTCTATTCTAACCCAAGCCACTAATATTTACACAGCATCAATATACATTTTTTGTGCAGGCTATTTTCTATTTATTTCTTAAGAAAAAGATTAATTTATACCTTTAAGTATTATGGACTAATATTCAAATCTGCTTGTTATTTAATGAGGCCAAGCGTAATGTATAGAGAGAAATAGGGTAGCAGCAGCACACTTGCTGTTCTGTAACCTGTCGGTTGTACATCTCATTCAGTTTTCCATGATGGGTCACCAATAGGAGTAAAATAAGAGAACAATGGTAAGAACAGCCATGTGTTTACCTTTTGATCACCCTGTCACCAGCTTGACCAGTTCTTCCTTTGCCTCAGAGAGTGAATGAGACAAAATGCTCCTGAATCTGTGGCATCATATGTTTCTTTGTCTTTCATCCTAATGATGATGAAATAGACATCAGTGGTGGAGACATTTTTTTTTAAAAAGGTTGATTTTGACTGTTACTGTGTGACAGAAAAATAGATGTATCGCTGTTGTTTCTGATAAACTTTCTACTTTTTTTCCTTCTGCCTATACCCTTTTTCATTCTTCTTAAATTCCTCTCCTCAGGCTCCATTGCTCTTATCCTCATTTTTCAACATACTCTCCCAAGTTAATTTCCCTGATCCCACTTCCTTGGATCTGTTATTTTCTTGATTCCCCCACTCCCACTTCTCACATCCATGATAAGATGTCTTTAATTTTGCAATGAAATTGATTAGAAAAATAGGTAAATGTACAGAATTTCACTTTGTTGACAACTTTTTAACATTACAAAAATTCTGTATATTGAGAGGAATTTATATAACTAGTCATTTTTACTTAGTATGTATTTTGATAGTTATTATCAAATAATATCATTATTTAAATTATTTAACTATGAATAATTAAAATTATTCCTTTAATTTAGAAAGAATTTAATGAAATTATTCTTCCAGTAAAAAACTTAAAAGACCCATTTATGATTGTAGTATTGCTTTAATGATTTCTATGTTCATGCTAGTTGAATAAATCTTTTTAAAGTTGGAAGTACTCCAAAATCTAAGGTATGCTATTTATGGATAAAGTTTTGGTTTAAAATGTTTTTGACATATTTAGAACATCTTTTAAAATGATTATATTTTAAAAATGAGAGTGCAGTATACTGAGAAGAGCACTGGGCTTAATCAGGAAAAGTGTGTCTTAGCTGTGACACTAGTTAAGTAATTTAATAATATTGGGAAGATCTGTTAAATTCTTTCAAACTCAGTTTCATTATCGGCAAAAGGAGGAGTTTTAACTATATATTAACTAAATATTTCTTCTAGCTTTAAAATACATTTTTTACTTAGCTAATATTTAATGTAATTCACTCTTCTCTTTAGAATTTTTGAAAAAGATGAACAACATATACTTACATTGAATAAAGCCCCTCAAAAAAGTCAATTATTTCTTCCATATGAATCTCAGAAATTGGTCAGACCAATAAAAATGCACTCTTCAGAACCAAAAGTTATAGGTACAGTATCTGTTTATTATTCAAAAACTTGGTTTTCTTTGCAAACACATAGAAGAAGAAATAGAAAGAAGCAATTTTAATTATTATTTGGTGTAGACAAGAACAAACTATACTGAAGAACTATAGACTGGGGAAAGTGATTCTTTGTGAGAGCAAACAAGATATGCCTTCTATATTTAAGTTCTTTCTCTTTAAGAGAGAAATTACTCACATGGTATTAAAAAGTGTTGTGGTCTGGTTACACAGTTGTCAGAGGAGGATGAATAATAATATATTTTTCATTTGAGAAGTTTTATTGTCAGTGTGATTAAAGTGGGTAGGAGACTTGTGTTAATGATATTTGTGATTTAGTCACTGAGATATTTGAATCATGTCTCATTCAGTGAATCTGCAGATTAGATTAACGACATTGTATTAGAGTAACTACATTGGCTGGTTTTTCCCCCTAGTCGTTAATAGCACCACTCTGTCTTCTTTGGTTTCCCATTATAAAGATGTATTTTTGTCAGCTGGTTTTCATTTTACATCATAGTTATTGTAATAACTACTGTATAGTAAGGAATTAAGAGTTATGTAACAATTTCATAATTCTGTGTTTTAAATTAAATACTCATATGACTTGATTTTTTAAATTACAAGGTTAAGTTAAATATTGGGTCATGACATTTGATTCTGTCTCTGGAATTGATTTGAAGTTATATAATTTAATAACCTAGATAAAAAGGAAGAAAGTTCTGTGAAGCAGTCAAAGCTTGCCAATATTGACTTCAGACAAAAAGAAAATGATACACAGGTAGGTATTTCTCTTTTAATAGTATAAATTAAATACTTTCTTGCATTAAATGAGGTATTGAATGTACCGCATTTAGGACATGGGTTTGTGTGTGTGTGTGTGTGTGTGAGAGAGAGAGAGAGAGAGAGAGAGAGAGGGAGAGAGAGATATGTTAAATCAGCCGTCAGTACAACCACAGGACCTAAAAAAACTTAAAAGAGTTTCAGTATGGCAGCCTGAGCTTTCTCATTTACTTCTAAAAATGATAGAAAAGATATTTTAACATACCAATCCCTGTACCCAGTAGACCAAAAACTGTGAGACATTTCTAAAGGAGGAAAACAAGATTGGATTGAAGAGGGAAATTGTGGTCCAGGACGTGCATAGAAGAATACTCATTGCAGGGACTGTGAATAGAGTAATTGTTTGGGTTACTTCAGTGGGAGTTAGTTTAGTTAACACCTATTCATCTCATGTCTACTCTACCTTTGGCCAGGCATCAGCAACTGGATGACTGTCTCCAGGTGGAAGCAGTGAGTATAGGAGCTTGGGTTAGAGAGAGAGATGGAACTCTGGGGGTTCATGATGCTCATGAAGAACAATGAGCATACCACCCTGAAAGCTAGCTTCTGCTGTGGCAGATCTCTGTCTTCCCCCATTCTTCCTGAAAATAGTCCAGAGGGAAAATTTCTCAATGAAAAATATAATTGCTTCCTATTAATTCACAATTAATACAGCTATGGGGTAGTGGAGACCAAAGTAACTAGTGAAACTTATTAATTCTAAATATGTATTAATTATAAAAATTTTAAAATCTGATACTAAAATTCCAGATGGTATCAACGTGGGATGAAGGTGGGAAGATAAATGAGGGAAACAAAAGTTTACTCAAGTACTTTTTCACTTGGGGGTGGAGGTAGGGAGAAGATATGAATACTGATTAACTCTCTAAATTGTTGGAAAAATGTAAATTTATGCATGTATGTTGAACATTTAAGGATAATCAACGGAAGAGAATTTAATGTTAAGTTTTAAAACGGTAGGAAAAAAAAGATGAAACAAAGAAAACTTAGTCCAAGAAAAAGCAGGAATTGGATGGGGCAGGGAATAAAACAGTAAGAAAGCATTATAAATAGAAAACAAATAAGATACCAGAAATAATTGTGAACAAATCAGTCAGTAATCATAAAAATGTGACAGAGATGCTTCTGTGGGATATATAAACAACATATAGATATATACTATTAGAACAGCTGAAACAACTGGACAAATGAAGGCTGAAAATAAAAGGATGGGAAATATGTATCAGACAAATGCAAACAAAAACAAAACAGATAGAACAATACCATATAAAACAGAGTTCAATATAAAAAATGTTAATAGGGATAACATTAATAGGATAATATTAATAGGGAAAATATTTTATGTTTTTCAAAAGAATAATTTCAAGAGCTGGCCCCGTGGCCGAGTGGTTAAGTTCGTGCACTCCGCTTTGGCAGCCCAGGGTTTCACCAATTCGGATCCTGGGCGCGGGCATGCACCGCTCATCAGGCCATGCTGAGGCGGCGTCCCACATAGCACAACCAGAGGCACTCACAACTAGGATATACAACTATGTACTGGGGGGGTTTTGGGGAGAAGAAGAAAAAAAAAAAAGAAAAAGATTGGCAACAGAGGTTAGCTTGGGTGCCAATCTTTAAGAAAAAAATAATTTTAAAAGAATAATTCACCAAGAAGTCATAAGAACCATGATGCACCAAATTATACAGTTTCAAAATATATAAAGCAAAAATTGATAGAATTCCAAAGAATCGATTGAATCCACAGTTAAAACAGGATAGCTCTCTCAAGAAAAGTACTGACCCTCAGTTTGGGGATTGAGTTTGGCTACAAGTGAAACAATACAAAACTGAAGCAATGAAATAATAGCATCTTAAACAAGATAAACACTTATTTTTCTCTTACTTGCCATGAAACTCTAAAGTATGTGACTCAGGTTCACTTATCAGGGTTGACAGCACCATCTCCACAGTGTCATTATTTCTCAGATGCCATCTATGCTTTCTTTTCCTGCTATCTTAATGCTAAACTTTCACCTCAAGGTCACCTAATGGTTGGAGGTTAACCATTGCAACTTTTCCATCATATCTGCCTTCCCTGCATGAAAAAAGAAAAGGAGGAAGGCTAGCTGAGTCAGCCTCATTTTAGAGGATCTTTCCTGGAAACTCCTTAAACAATTTATGATAATGATTCATCAGCTGGAACTTAGTTACATGGCTGCCTCTAACTGTGGAGAGGTTGAGAAATAGAGGGAAATATAGTTTTTTTGTTTTAAAAGTCAGAAAACAAAGGGAAAGTAGATTTTGGATGGGATAGAAAACTGGCAGTTTCTGCCCGAGAAACAAATCAAGTAGATGAAAAATAAGTAAGGATGTAGAGAATCTGAATAACACAATTAGTAAACTTTTTGCCAAACATACACAGAATTCAGTTAAATTTTTATTTGCTGTATTCCCCAAAATTGATCATTTACTAGAATAAAAAAAGTATCTCAACCAATTCTAAAAAGTTGCTATCTTCACTTACCACAATGTAAAAAAATAGAAATTAAACAATAAGATAGCCTCTCCTCAAAAAACTATGGCTGAGGAAAAAGAAATTCACATACTTTCAAATTACTTTTGGGTTATAGAAGAAATCAAAATAGAATTTAAAAAATATTTAAAAGAATACTATAAACCAAAACCTGTGGATTGTAGCCAAATTGGTCCTCAGAGAGAAATTTATATTTGAAGACAAATATAATTTTCTAATTATATATGTTATATACATTATATCTACATATCTATATATTATCAATATTATATTATAAATATATTTAATATATATTCATTTGGTTAGAATATTGTGAATATTCTAATAGTATTTTCTAATAAAATTAAAGTTAGCTGAACTTTATGAAAAGCTCAACTCAAAATATGAAAAGAACAAAATAATAAATGCAGACAAAGTAGAAATTAAGAGAGAGAAAAGCATAAATTAATGAAATAAAAAGTTGGGTTAATCAATATAGCCAAAAGATAGTAACTTCTAAATATCAATAAAATTTCAGCAAGTATAAAGAAAAAAAGAGAAGCACCCCCCAAAAGAAAAGAATAAAAAGAGGAAAAAGTTCATTTTGCTACACATATGGAAGAAATCTTTTCAAAGTCCTAAGAGAATACTATGTAAGACTTTATACCAATAAATTTGAAAATTTAGGTGAGATAGACAGTTTTCTAGGACAATATAAGTTGCTGAATAGACTGACAAAGAAAAACGTGAATAGATCAATAACTTAGAAGAAACTGAAATGTAATCACCTATTTCCCTCTTTCCTCACTTACTTCCTTCCCTTCTTCCTCTGCCACACACACACTCTTCAGAACACACCAGACTCAGTTTTTCAAGTGAATTCTACCAAACTTTTAAGGATTAGATCAGAGTTTCTCAACTGTGACACTATTGACATTTTGGACCAGATAATTCTTTGTTGTGGGGTCATCTTGTGACCCAGTAGAGGACAGTAGCTCCTCACCCCCAAGTTATGACAATCAAAACTATCCCCAGACATTTTCAAATGTCCCCCAAGAGATAAAATTGCCCCAAGTTCAGAACCACTGAATTAAATAATCTTTTTTTCTTTCTTTTTTTTTTTGAGGAAGATTAGCCCTGAGCTAACTACTGTCAGTCCTCCGCTTTTTTGCTGAGGAAGCCTGGCCCTGAGCTAACATCCGTGCCCATCTCCCTCTGCTTTGGGTGTGGGACGCCTACCACTGCATGGCATGCCAAGCTGTGCCATGTCCGCACCCGGGATCTGAACCGGTGAACCCCCGGCCGCCGAGAACGTGCGAACTTCACTGCTGCGCCACCGGGCCGGCCCCTAAATAATCTTTTTATATAAACAATTCCAGGGAATAGAAAAAAATTGAACACTAGCCAGAAAAGTGTATATGCCTAATCCATTAGATAGCAAGGACAAGAATAGTGAAAGAAAAGAAAAATTATATGTTAGTCTCAAGAATGAACATGGATGTAAAAATCCTAAATAAGTCATTTGCAAACCAAACTTGGCACCGTAACATTAAAAGAATAACGTATTATGACTAACCTTGGTTTTCCCAAGGAATGCAGTGATGCTTTAGCTTTGGAAAAATCTGTCAATATGATTCACTACATTAACAGATTAATAAGTGATTTTAAATAGAGATTTAAAATAAAAGGTTTTTTAAAAGAATATTAGGGAGATTCATACTATTAGATGTCAAAGTGTTTATTTTCTTACTTTTGTTATTAAGATATAATTCACATATCATAAAATTCACCATTTTAAAGTGTACAATTCAGTGGTTTTTAGGTGGTGTAACCATCACCAGCTTCTAATTCCAGGACATTTTCATCATCCCTCAAATTTTTAAACATTACCAAAATGCAATAATTATATCAGTGTGGTGCAAGAAAAGACAAATTGATCAATGGACTACATAAAAATAAAAAATTTCTATGTGATAAAAGACACTAACAAAGTTAAAAGACAATGACAGAATGAGCAGGGGATTGGTATTCAGAATGTATAATAAAGAAAGATATAATAATTCTTGCATATTAATAAAAGAGCAATAAAAATGGGCAAAAGATAAGGCAGTTTGCAGGAAGGGAAAGACAAGGGGTCATTAACATAACAAGATACCTGACCTCAGGAGTGCAGGGGAATGCAGAGTAAACCAATGAGATACCTGGTTTCACCTATCAGATTTGCAGACATTAAAACGTTTGATGATATCTAATGAGGTCAATGATAGTGGAGTGTTATTTAGTACAACTGCTTTGGAAGACTGGTTCACAAGTACTTATTAAAAATAAAGTGCACATACTCAGCAATTTCTCTTCTTGACATCTACTCTAAACAGATACTTGAAATACTTGTACAAATACTTGTACCAGGAGGCATATTCAAATGTATGTTGTTTAAAACATACATCAAAACAGTGACAACACTTGTTCTTTAAGGAACAAGGTCTTTTTCTTATGATCTAAAAGCACAATAAGATGACAGAATTAAGGCCAATGGCTGTTATAACAGAAATAAATAGGATAAACTTTCCTATTAAAGATATTTTCATTTTGGGTCAAATAAGAAAAATCAGGAACTCTTCAAAATGAGTCACTCAGGAAGAATGAAAGACTTGAAACAATGCAAACATTAGTAAAGCAGTGGTTTAGATATTAATATTTTTAGAAATTTAATTAAAGTTAAAAATGAAATATTAGCTTTTTCATACAAATATAAAAAAGAAAATTTCAGGCTTTAATCTTTTAACCCAGTGTTTTGCTTTCCTTTGTTAGTTTGAAAGGTTATACAGGATAGATACAGAAATCAGGTAATCAGTTGAGAAAATGGTGAGATTCATTTGATTAGTCATGAATATGGGATAACATTTTAAAAGGTTTATCTTAATTGTAGAAATACTACCAAGCGTAGTTAGTATACTTGTCAAAAAATCAAATTCCTTGAGAGTCTTAAATGTTTTTTGTTTCCCAGTATTTGACTTAGTGTTTTGTGTGTAGTAGTTTCAGTTCATGTTTGTATTTGTTGTTGATATTGATGATGATGATGACGAGGATGACGATGCTCTTGGAGAGCCTTGAGTGGCCTTGGCAAGCAAAAACTTTTTATTGTTTTGTGTAGCCAATTCTAATGCTTAATTTCTTTTGTTCAGGTATTTAATGACTCTACTGTGAATAACCATTCAAAATGTTCACATGTTGCAGCTATTAAAAGTTCACAAAATTTTATGCAGTTCAGGTAACTTAAAAAATAAGAAAATGCTTTAATTTCTGAAATAATTTAATTCAGAATATTATATTAAAAAATTTTTCATTATATTTTAGATTGTTAACCCCACAGAAACAATCAAATTGCAATCAATGGTTTGAAAAAGGAGATACAGGTATTTGCTGTTTATAATTTTCCTAAGAAGTGAGAGTAACAAATGGTATCAGGCTTTTATGCTATTCAAATAAGTTATTTGGATTGTTTGCATCTCTAGTAAACTGACAGTGCATGCCTAGTTTTTAAATACATTTTCCCCTAAACATAAAACAAGTACATTTCATTGTAGAAAATTTGGAAAACAGAGAAAAATAGAAAAGAAACAAAAATACCACCACCCAGATGTAACCGATATCATATGTACTGGTGTATATTCTTGTCTTTTTTTTCTATGCATAAGTATGTTTTGTTCTTTTATTTTTTCCCCAAAATTTTAAGCATACTATGTATATCATTTTGTATCCTTTTCTTCCCACTTGATACACCGTTGAGGGTATTTTTCCATGCCATTTAATAGATTTTATTTGTAATGACTGTATAATATGCCGTTGTATGAATTTGTTATAATTTATTTAGCCATTCTCTCACATTGAATATTTGTTGTTTTCAGGGTTCTTTGCTATTATAAATAATGCTACTATATTCTTTTACATGATTCTCTTACTATCTTTGATTATTTTTGTTGAATAAAATCATAGAAAGATCACAGGATATATATGTGTATGAGTTTGTTGGAACTTTGACACACCCTTGAAAATATTCATTCTCTCTCTATGTATATATGTATGTATATGTGTACATGTATGTATATGTATATATAAAATATATAATATACACACGTTATGTACATATTTTGGTAACCCAGTAATGAATAACAATTATTTCACTCATTAGGCTACATAAAAGTCTTCACTTCTTGTCTGTAGCATGTGGATTACTGACTTTTATTTTGAAGTTCTAAAAATGGCTCATTCTTGCAGTATAAAAATTCTGTAAAAATATGCATATTCAGAATGGTCATATAATATACTGTGAGTCTGTTTCTGCCACTCTCAGTATAGGATTCAGCCAAGACAATGTGCTTATTCCACACAGATGGATTTTCTTCCTGATTTCTTCTGGAAGAAAGAATTTTATTTGCACAAGTGATCTGTTCCACCTGTTTATAATCCTCTATAGATGCCAAGCTGACAGAGTGTTAAGCAAGGGAGAAATGGCTGATTTCTAGGAACAGTACACCCCTGATACAGCTATGTGGGGAAATACATATATCTGGCATAGTCCTAGCTGCCATTGAGCATATATGGTGAGGCTTCATATCCGAGAAAGCATATAATTATCTTAGAAGAAAAAAACACTCTTTTCAACAATCTCCAAGACTATCTTTTGAAGAAGTTAATGTGCAGTGAAAATAATAGCTGTGACTTAAATGCAAGAGTCAAAACTATAAAGCTTTCAGATGATCACATAGGAAAACATTATTCAAGATAGGAAAGGATTTCTTAAATAAGAATTTAAAAAACCCAATCATCAAAGAAAGATTGATAAAATTGGCTGTATTAAAATTAAGAATTTCTATTCATCAAGAGACACTATAAAAATAATGGAAGGCAAAAGGATGTATTTTCAGTACATAAAACTGTTAAAGGACTAGTTTCCTAAAATTTATAGAAAATTTCTACAAACCAAGAAGAAGACAGACAACCCAATTAGAAATATGCACAAAATACATGAATAGGCACTTCAAATACAGAAACTTTTGTAGCAAGTAAACATATGAAAAGGTGCTCAGCGTGATCAGGAAACTGAAAAATAAAATCATAATGAGATATCATTACACATCCACCAGATTAGCAAAATTCAGAAAGTCTGACACTACTAAGTGTTGATGAGAATGGAGGACTATAGAAACTCTCATAACTGTTGGTAGGAACTTTCGTTTATAAATGACAGATGAGATTATACCTAAATTACAATTGGAGCTAGTAATTTTGTCTGGGGAAATTGAATGATTTCCTAGGGTAGCTCAGGATGGCTAGTTCCCACAACAAAAATTGGTAAATAGTTTGGAAACTAAACCTTGGAAAATAGTTTAACATCTGGTAAAATGAAAGATACACATACCCTATACCTCATAATTTCACTCCTATCTATATATCTAGAGAAATACAAATATGTACAGACAAGTATATATGTAAAAAAATGTTCATAACGTCATTGTTTGTAATACCCTCAAAGCAAAAACACCCGGAATGCTCATTTGTAGTAGAGTGGATAGATATGTGTTTGTGCAGTCAACTGCCTTACATCAGTAAGAGTAAGCAAACTGTCTATATGCAATAATACAGATAAATCCCACAAGCATCTACTAAACAAAAAAAGCAAGATCCTGCACATATATATTATTATTTCATCATATAACATTTTAAAACAGGAAAAATAAACTGTATTGCGTAGGTGATAAAACTATATAAAGCAATCAAGGAAATGATTATCACAGAAGTCAGGATAGTGGTTACCTCTGAGGACATGGATATGGGGAATATGAGGCTTTTGGAGTACTCATAGTGTTCTGTTTCTTTACCTGAGTGGTGGTTACATGGGTGTTCTCTTTACAATTTTGTTTGTTAAACTTTTCATATAGGTTTTATTCTCTTATTGTTATGTATTGGATTGACCTATATGAAATTGCCATTTTGTTAGGTCAAAAAATTTTAAATATTAGCAGTTTCATGTGGTTCACCTGATATGTTTTATTTACAATGAAATTGCAAAAAGAAAAACAATTTTTTGTTTTCACATAACAAACAGATGCTGAGTGTGGAGATAAAGGGACAGTAAGACAATTAAGAGAATCAAAATGTGCTTCACAAGTAAGTCAATGTTTGCTTTCTAATTTCTAAGCAAAATATTCCAATTTAAAATATTATGTTTTCATTTTAATTTCAGATTTAGTATAATGAAGATTATTTATCTGAGTTCTAGATGTTATTAGTTTGGTAGTTGGGTTGCTATGGTGTTACAGATTCTATCCCTTAGAGAAGTTTTAGATTAAAAAATGAAGCCACAAAAAGTTTACATGAAAATATACAAAAAGAATTGTCTTTAATAATTGACTATATATATTGACACCAAAACTAAATCATCACTGAAGAAAACAATTTTGTTTGGTAAGATTGAGTGATTTGCCAAGCAAATTCAAGATCAGTGTTTGCCACAAAAATATCTCTGAAATATTTTTTAATAGTGGAAAGCTTTAATGATGATAGATATAGACAATGCATGTTGAATTTACCATAGCTACTAAGGGTTAAAACAAGAGAAACAACATAGTAGTATTCTGCTGTAAAAAAATTCCGGTAAAAAGCACATTTTAATTATTTTGGTAGAGGGACCCAAATTGTTTCTGTAGTGGGATTTGGTATAACAAACATATTTGAGAAATCACATTCCTAGCCTACAAAATGATATAAAGAAAAATTAGTATTCAGATTTTCAATCTTTGCAGAGAAAGTAGTATAATGAATTTATAAGGGCAAAAAAAAAAAAAAAAGGCAAAGAACATAACCAGTGAGAGCAACATTGCTTAGAAATAAATTACTTTTCTCTTTCAAGAGATATCATATACAATTCTTGACCCAGAGCATGATGTGGAAATTTTAAAAGAAAAATAATTTCTGACCATTTTCCATCAATTTTAGTATGTTCTGGTTATCATTTTCTTTTTCAGGTATGGATAGGGGAGGTGGATCTGGGAAGAAAAGAAAAATTAGATAATTAAAAATTAATTACTTTTCCCCTTTTTTGGCAGATATGTTTTGGTATCCCTTTCATCAATTATTCTTATTTTGCCTAGTTTGTCTATGAAATGATAACATCATTAGTTAAAATGGTGTTTTCCACCTCATACATTTTTACGTATGTGAGTTTATTAATGCACTAGCACTCATTTATATAGTCTTCTGTTACTTTGAATTTGCAGGTTCTGTATGCAGAACATTTTGGAAAGCCAATAGAAGATAATAGTGATGAAGTAGAAGAAAGGGCTGAGAATTTTCCACGAACTCCTGAAATTCCTTTATTTTTAAGAACTCCTGAAGCTGTGAAAACACCTGAATCCTTGGAGAAATTAGTGTTCCCCAAAACTCCCACATTTGAAATGTAAGACTTTAATTAATAATTATAATTAAAGAATCTGCATATTGAGTTATATAGTATAAATAATCAATAGGAATAGTAAAATGCTTAAAACTGGTAACTTTAAAAAGTTTTTACTATGGAAAATTTCAAATATACAGAGGAGGGAGAGACTAGTACAATGAACCTCCATGTGCCTATCACCCTCTTTGAACAATTATTAATATTCTGCCATCTTGTTTCATATACCCTCTTTCCCATTTTTCCTGCAGCATTTAGCTGAAGATGACATAGATTCTGAGTGCTTATCCAGTGCGATGATGTACAGATTTATGATTTTCAAAAGGATAAAAAAAAAGTATGAAAAAATTTAAAATGTCAAGCCAAAAAGCTACTATCACCTATGGTAGATTGTGGGCATCATCAAATAATGTTTCAGCAGTTACTTTTCCTGATGTTGTAGTGTCTAAAGCAAGAATTGTCATCTGTTAAGTAACCTCAGTAGGCATAAATATCTCTAACATGATAATTTAACTTTGGAAGCCACAGGTTGGTAGTTTGCAGCCAAGAAAATAGTGCCACATTTATTTAACCTTTTTGTTTAGTTAAATCCGTTCCTTAATGCTGAAACCTTGAGATTCCTCTAAAACATATATCAAATAGATTTTACTTTATCAGGGATCTCTCGCCTGTCTTCTACTTCTGCATTTTAAATTAGTAGTAAGAGTTTTATATATATGAATGTCATGCTTTTGACTCAAACACAGCATGTGCAAAGTGGAACTCACCATCAAATCTGAGAACGGTAAAAGGATGTGGCAGTCATATGCTAAAATCTCTCTTTATGGATGAGAAAAGTGATTTGTAAAGTTAAATGACTTATTAATGGTCATGGAGGTAGTTATGGAAGTATCTTCAGACTTCCGTTATATTTAACAAATGCTTATGTAACACTATGTCTAAGCATTTTATAAATATTGCTTATTAAATATTCACAACTTTATGAGATGCAAGTACATTATTATTCTTATTTTATAGATGAGTAAAGAGAATCACAGGTGATAAAACTCGTCAGTGATGGAGTTGAGATTCAAACCCAGGCAGTTCTGCCTCCAGAATCCATGCTTTTGACTACTGTGTTCTGTACTGTCTTGTCTAATTACTTTTCCCACATCATCTTATAGTTTCACTCTCTTTTGCAACAATCTGTAATGGCTGGCTTCTTATCAAGACTAAAATCTTGTGACTGGCTTTCACGATCTTGTGAAAAGTATAGCGTCAGGGTTAACAGCTTACATTTTGAATCTGGATTGCTGCATTCAAATCCCAATGCTGGCACTTAAATTCTTTTGAGTAAATCATTTAACCTTTCTGTGCTTCAAAATCCTCTTCTGTAAAACAGGTGATAATCATAGAACCTATTTCATAGGGTTATTATGATCAATAAGTAAGTCAATGCCAATGGAAATACCTGGACTAGAGCTTGACAGTTTATTCTCAATAGGAATTCATTATTATTATTCTATAATTGATTGTTCTACTTTACTTAACGTTATTCTCCACCCAAAACCATCTTTTTCTTCATAGGTTTGTCACTTCAGTAATTACATCCTCCTTATCCCTACTCTCCTAATTCTTACCTCTATGACATTGCTTATGGTGCTTACGAGTCTGTAGTATTTAATAATAGATTTTTAACATCTTGATGATTTCTTATTTCTCTATAACAGAAATAGAAATACAATACCTGAAGGTCAAACACAAAAGGAATCCCCTGGATTTTCTTTTATTATGAGTTATACTTCTAGATCACCTGGATTGAATTTATTTGATTCTTCTATATTTGATTCAGAAATCTCATCAGACCAGGTAATATGAGAAGCTAAAGTTTTATTTCTAAAAAATTGTATACTGGAACCTCAAGTAATTTTAATTCTTTTGTACCAAACTGTCTTGGGGGAGAGTAAAAAACAGGCAATTTTTTTTTTATTGAGTTATTGATAGGTTACAATCTTGTGAAATTTCACTTGTACATTAATGTTTGTCAGTCATGTTGTAGGTGCACCACTTCACCCTTTGTGCCCACCCCCCACCCCACCTTTCCCCTGGTATCCACTAAACTGTTCTTGGTCCATAGTTTTAAATTCCTCATATGAGTGGAGTCATACACAGATTATCTTTCTCTTGCTGGCTTATTTGACTTAACATAATTCTCTCAAGGTCCATCCATGTTATTGCAAATGGAATGATTTTGTTCTGTTTTGCAGCTGAGTAGTATTCCATTGTATATATGTACCACATCTTCTTTATCCATTCGTCTGTTGATGGGCACTTAGGTTGCTTCCACATCTTGGCTATTGTAAACAGTGCTGCAATAAACATTGGGGTGCACAGGACTTTTGGGATTGCTGACTTCAGGCTCTTTGGATAAATACCCAGTAGTGGGATGGCTGGATCGTATGGTAGCTCTATTTTTAGTTTTTTGAGGAATCTCCATACTGTTTTCCATAGTGGCTGCACCAGTTTGCATTCCCACCAGCAGTGTATGAGGGTTCCTTTTTCTCCGCAACCTCTCCAACATTTGTTGCTATTAGTTTTAGATATTTTTGTCATTCTAACGGGTGTAAGGTGATATCTTAGTGTAGTTTTGATTTGCATTTCCCTGATGATCAGCGATGATGAGCATCTTTTCATGTGCCTATTGGCCATCAGTATATCTTCTTTGGAGAAATGTCTGTTCATGTCTCCAGCCCATTTTTTGTTTGGGTTGTTTGATGTTTTGTGATTGAGTTGCGAGAGTTCTTTATATATTAAGGATATTAAGCCTTTGTCAGATATATGACTTGCAAATATTTTTTCCCAGTTAGTGGGTTGTTTTTTTGTTTCAATCCTGTTTTCATTTGCCTTGAAAAAGCTCTTTAATCTGATGAAGTCCCATTTGTTTATTCTTTCTATTGTTTCCCTTCTCTGAGAAGGCATGGTGTCCGAAAAGATCCTTTTAATACTGATGTCAAAGAGTGTACTGCCTACATTTTCTTCCAGAAGCCTTATGGTTTCAGGTCTCACCTTTAGGTCTTTAATCCATTTTGAGTTTATTTTGGTGAATGGTGAAAAAGAATGGTCAATTTTCATTCTTTTACATGTGGCTTTCCAGTTTTCCCAGCACCATTTGTTGAAAAGACTTTCTTTTCTCTATTGTATGCCCTCAGCTCCTTTGTCAAAGATAAGCTGTCCATAGATGTGTAGTTTTATTTCTGGGCTTTCAATTTTGTTCCATTGATCTGTGCACCTGTTTTTGTACCAGTACCATGCTGAAAAACAGGCAATTTTTTTAAAAGATACCCATTATCTTTTTTGTTTTTATTTATTTTTTTGCTGAGGAAGATTCACCCTGAGCTAACATCTGTGCCAATCTTCCTCTTTTTCGTATGTGGGATACCTACAACAGCATGGCTTGCCAAGCAGTGCCATGCCCGCACCCGGGATCCAAACTGGTGAACTCCGGGCCGCTGAAGTTAATGTGCTCACTTAACTGCTGTGCAACCAGGCCTGCCCCTCCATTTCTTTTTATAATAATCAATCATACTTGAATAAATACTGTTATGCACAGATTTACATTTCTTTGACAATTAATAAGGAAAGCTGTTTTTCCCAGAGATTTTGTAAGTCAGTTGAATTTCTTTTTCAGTGAATTATCTATTCACCAAATGGACTTTTCCATACCTCTACTGAGGCAGTAGTTTTTCTTATTGGTACATATAAGCTCTTTATATATTAAAGATATTAATTCTTTGTCATTACCGCAAATATTTTATATTACTATCATTTTGCTGTTAAAATTTTTTTAACATTTAGAAGTTTAAATTTTGTATGTAACCAAACCCAAACTCCAAACTCTTTTTTTTTCTTTTGGCTCTTCTTCCACTGTTTTTATGCTCAGAGAATCCTCCTCTTAAGAACCAGTAAATATTCACCTGTATTTCCTTTGAAATATCTTATGGTTAACATTTTTAATTTAATACATCTACTTGTGTACAGTGTTGAGTGCCTAATTTATCCCTATTAATTTGTGGTCCCATTTTTATCACATTCCAAATTCTTTTGTTTCAAGACCTGCTAGCTCATACCACTGGTTAGTCTATCAATTCGTGTATCAGTATCACCCTACTTTGATTGCTCTAGGTTTACAAGATGTTTTAATAATTAGAAAGTGAAGTCCCCCCTCGCCAGTTTCTATTTCATAATATTCTCATATTATTAATGTCTGTAGGATCCATAATGATACCAATATAGGTATCTTTCATTCCTAATATAGGTAAATTGACTTATCTTTTTCTTTGTCAGTCTATGAGAAATTTATAAATCTTGTCAATTTTTTTCAAAGAACAAACTTTGGCTTTGTTAATTTTCTCTCTTCTTTGTTTTCTGTTCATTGATTTCTCTTATTGTTTCACTCTACTTACTTTGTTTACTTTGTTCTTCTTTTTCTTGTTTTTCAAGGTGGAACCTTGGGTCACTGATTTTAGGCCTTTCTTCTTTTCTATTATTTAAATTACTAATTAAATTACTTAAAGCTGTCATTTTGTTCTGGTTTTGACAGCATCCCATAATTTTTGATATGCTGAATTTTCATAATCATTCATTTCAAAATCTTTTCTAATTTCTCTCATGATTTCTCCTTTGATCTTGTATGGCCTAAATATTTAGGATTTTCCTAATATCTTGTTATTAATCTCTAATTTAAATCTATTGTGCTCAGAGAACATACTCTGTATTATTTTAATCCTTTTAAATTTAGTAAGTCTCCTTTTATGACCCAGAACATGGTCGTTCTTGGTGAATGTACCATCAGCAGTTGAAAAGAATATATATGCTGCAGTTGCTGGATATGGTGTACTATAAATGTCAATCAGGTGAAGACAGTTGGTGGTGGTAAAGATCTTATAAAAGATCTTTATTGATTGTGTTGTCTAATTCTATCAGCTGCTGAGAGAGGGGTATTAAAAATTCCAACTATGCTTGTGTTTTTGTCTATTTCTCCCTTTAATTCTGTCAATTTTTGTTTCTGTATATTGAAGCTATTATTAGGTGCATACACATTTGTCATTGTTAGATCTTCCTTATGAATTGACCCTTTTATCCTTATGCAGTGTCCCTCTTTATCCCTAGCAACATTCTTTGTCTTGAAGACTACCTATAGCAATACCAATATAGCCACTGTGACCTTCTTATGCTTTCAGTTTTCATGACATATGTTTTATCCATTTACTTTCAACCTGTCTTTGTCTTTATATTTAAAATGTGTCTCTTGTAGTTGAGTCAGGCTTTTTATCCATTCTTACAATTACTGCCTTTTAATGGAGTGTTTAGCCCATTCATGATTGATGTAACTCTTAAAAGTTCATATTTTAATAATGGTTTACTATTTGTTTTCTGTTTGTTCCCTTTGTGTTTTGTTACTGTTTCTTCTTTTCTGCCTTCTTCTGGGTTAAGTATTTTTTAGAATTCCATTTTAATTTATTACCAATATTATTGTTGAACATTTGTCGATTATTCTTGATCAAGAAACTTAGTAATTATTTGCCAGTCTCCTTCCCCAACCCCACCACTACAAAAACAAAACGAAAAATTAAAGATAAACAGTGTTGTCAGGATTCCAACTAGATTTGAATTGGATTACATTTATAAGTTATTTAGAAAAGAAATACATATTTACAATATTTTCTTCCTATACAGTTCCTTCATATACCTTTCTTTCTATGCAATAATTTTTTAAAGTAATTTTTGTAATTTTCTTTATCCAAATGTACATTTCCTGTTAAGATTACATATACGTATTCTGCATTTATATTACTATTGTAAATAAGAATTAAGTAACCTTAGTCTATTTTTTCATGCCCAGGATACACCTTCCAAGAATTATCTGTCTTTGAAATAAACATTTAAACAAAAATTGACAAAAGCTGAAGACATGAAACACTATGAAATGTATATGGCACTACACTATCCGTCAACAAATTTCTAATTTCAAAAATTTAACACAAGCTGTGGGATGCAGGAATAAAATATTCCAGTTCACATAACATTGACTAAATGTGACTAACTTCAATAAGCAATAACAATATAATACCTATGATATTACATCACATTTCTACTTATTACAGTGTTAAGTGGTTAGAACTTTTCTAAGTGCTCTACATACACTCATCTAATATTCACAAACCCTAGGGTAAAAATTATTTTTCCATTTTACCATAAGAAACAGAGTTACATACCCCAAATTCCACATCTAGTACACACCCAAGTAGTCTGGCTTCAGAGCCCCGTCTTAATCACTACACTATGTTGTCTCTACTGATCAAATACAGCATGTCTTAATTTTCAGTTTCAATTGCTAAATACAGAAATAAGCACTTCATCATGATTTCTATCACTGAACAGGGGAAATCACTAGTAGAAGGAAATTCTTTAGGGCTTTTGAAACTAACCAATGATAATGCTGCTATGTACACACATGCAGATGAAAAGACCAACTAATAACCTGGAGCATTTTTCACACTGAGAATATGTAGAAGTTTGTTTAGAAGTTAGACATGTGAACTATGAAGCCAAATAAATTTTTTAAGTGCCTTTAACTGCAATTTAACTCATCCCTATAGTGAGATTCTTTTTTTATGAATAGATGTCAATTTAGGGCACCTGAAGTTGAAAACAAAAAAAATAATGGGGAGAGGGCTGGCCCTGTGGCCTAGTGATTAAGTTCAGCATGCTCCACTTTGGCAGCCTGGATTTGGTTCCCAGGCATGGACTTACACCACTCATTGGCAGCCACGATGTGGCGGCAACCCACATATGAAAAAGAGGAAGATTGTTAGCTCAGGGCCAGTCTTCCTCAGCAAAAAGAGGAGGATTGGCAGCAGATGTTAGCTCAGGGCTAATGTTCCTCAAAAAAAAAAAGGAAACAACGTAAATATCCAAAATAAAAGAATGATTGAAACTCCATGGTATGTTCATATGGAGGACTGTTATAGTGCTATAAAAAGAATTAGATTTTAGAGTAGTGAGAGAAAAATGTTCATAATGCAATATTAAGAGACAAAAAAGAAGACAGAAAACTATGTTGTCATGATCCTATTTTTCTTAAAGCCTGTTTACAGAGAACACAGACTCTTTTGGTAGCAAAACTTGGTCTGAACTGACATGAGGCTATCGTACTTCCTATTACTCTTATAGTCAAGAAAACAGTACCAAGGACCTGACTTGTAAAAGAGCTTCAGAATAAAGCAAAGGTTATTAGAATTTTAATTGTATTAATATTCCAAAGTAGGAACCATCCTTAATACAATATATATTGCCTATTAATCTTACCTGTTACCAGAATCAAATCAGTAAGCCTTATTTTAATATAAGTAAATGATAGGTTTTGAAGATAGATCTCTTTTTAAATACAATAGTGTACTATGTAGAGTGTTGCCATTTTGTCTGCTCTAATTATGCTTATTAGAACTAAACTTTAGATTCAAATATAAATGATATATATTGAGTCTACTGATTTCATGAGTAATATTTAATGGAAATTATTTTTCAGTTTAATGAACATTCTGCAGGAAATTTAAATCCTCTCTCATCACAACAAGAAATTGGTAAGTGATTTGAAGTTTCCTGCATATAAAAACATGCCCCTTTGTATTTAGTTTCTCACTAATTGATTTCCTTAGGCATTCAGTTTATTCTTTAAAAATTATTGTTACTTCTGCACTACTCATTGATTGTTACTATTTTTTTAGCAATTAGCTTCTTTTCTCACTGTTTAACTGAAACTTGCTTTCTCTAATATTACTAATGACCTCCCAATTATCAAATGTTATGGGTATTTTGTACTTAGCATATTCAGTCTTTTTGCAGCATTTGATATAGTTGACTATTCCCGTCTTCTTTCTGGAGTTTTTGGGTTTCCTCCTCTCTCTCTTGTGCTTATTTTTTATTGAATCTTCTTTCTTCTTTTATCCCTTGGTGAATTAATTCATTCAATGTATAAATATATATGTGTGTATATATAGTATATTTTATATCAGTTACTGCTTTTGGCTCTGGCTATAGAATAGTGAACAAGAATGCAAAGTTCTTAATAAAGTTTGTGTTCTAGTGGGAGAGACTGAAAATAGACAAATGATTATATAATATATTAGTGCACTAAACAACAGTTGATAGGGTTTGAATTTTTAATCTAATATTAGGCTTACTTAGCTTTATAGAAAGATGCAAGATAGGAGATAACGGCATGTTATCTTTGTCTCATTGAGAGGCCCACTAGCTACCCAAATAATAAGCTTTCTTTTGCCACCTCACCTATGTGGGACATGTAAGACTGATAGGCACAAAAGTCATTGTGCATGTGGGTTACCTTGACACGCAAAAGCTGCAACGTCAGTTTCCACCAGTGTTTTATATCATTCTAATCATGAGGCCCAAGGCCTGTGTACTAACTTGTAGCTCCTCTAATTCAGGTGCAGTCCCACACAGTAGATTAGGCAGACATATTCTACATTTACCTAAATTCTGTATTTTCTAAGAAAGCAGTGTGATGAGAAGTCAGCCCTCAAAGTCATTGTTCCAGGTGGGCCTGGATCAGCGCAGGCTTGATGTTAACTCTTTATTCACTGGTGGTAAGTATTATGAAGAAAACTAAAGCAGAGTAAGGGAAATAGGGAGTACTTGGGTTGGGAGGGTGGTTGCTGCGTTATAAGGAAGTCAGGGAAGGTAAAAGGCAACATTTGAGCAGAGACCTGAGAAGGTGTGGGTCCAAACTACTGGGATAAGTGTTCTGGGCAGAGAGTGCAAAGGCCTTGAGATGGGAGTGTGCTCAGCATGTTTCATTGAACAGTTGGTAAATTGGTATGATTGGGATCAAATAAGGGAGGAGAAACTGGTAGGAGATTAAATCAGAAAGGTTGGAGGGGAAGCAAACCATAGGGGGCCCTTAGACCATTAAGGACTTTGGGGTTTTTTCTGAGTGAGATGGGAAGCCATTGGAGTTTTGAGCAAAGGACTGAAGTGATCTCACAGATTTTAAAAGAATTACTTGGCTGCTATATGGAGAACAGACTGCGTGGAAACAAGGATGAAATCAGGGAGATTGATCAGGAAGCTATTAAAATAATACAGGTGAGAATTGATGACGGTGAGGATGGTGGAATTGGAAGTGGCGAGAAGAGGCCAGATGTTGATCACTAAGTTTTCTGAAGATAGCGTTTTAAGGATTTGGACTGAATGTAAGGATTAAGACAAAGAAACAAGGGTGATGCCAAGATTTTTGACATGAATAACTATAAGAATGGAGTTGCCATTTATTGGAATATGGAAGGCTATAGAAATTATTTTGAGATTGACAGGAGCTGGAGGTTAGTTTTGGAAGTGTTATCATTGAAAAGCCTGTATTAGATATCCAAATTAGAGTAAAGTAAGGCGCTGGCCTTGTTGCCTAGTGGTTAAGTTCTGTGTGCTCTGCTTTGGCAGCTCTGGTTCAGTTCCCAGGTGTTGACCTGCACCACTCATCAGCGGGCATGCTGTGGCAGGGACCCACATACAAAATAGAGGAAGATTGGCACAGATGTTAGCTCAGGGTGAATTTTCTTAAAAAAAAGTAAAGTAAGAAATTATATATATGAATCTGGAATTCAGTGGGGTAGAAAAATTTTGGAATTGTCACAACTGTTGTTTAATGCTGTGAGATCAAATCAAATCTATCAATTGTAGACATTCTTTAAATATTCATCATCTAAAATGTTAAATCTATTTACATTCTCTCCTTTGATGCTCTCATTCATTTAACACTCATTCACTTCAGTGCATTCAAATATTATAATACAAGTAATGACCAGATTCATATCTTTCCTCCCTGACTTCTCCTAAACTCTGGGACCTTATTTCTGATGATGTAATTGATATCTCTTTATATCTAAGACATCTTTTGACATTAAAAACTCAGAATATCTGAAAACGAACTTGTTCTCCTTCTGATATACCTAATGGCATTTCCATTATTCTAGCTGCCAAGACTCAGAACATCAATGATAATTATAACTTCTCTCTGTGCCTGTGACCACATTCAGCTAGTCATCAAGTTTTATCAGTTCTCCCTGAAATATTTATTTCTTTTTCTTTTCTATTTTCGTTGAAACCATTATATTTCAAACTCTTATTACCATTCACTTGGGCTATTACAGTAACATCATAAGTGGTCTTTTCATCCTTTCAGCTTACGTATAGATCACAGTCCAATTAATCTTCCTTTTGCATAATGTTGGCCATTTCACTCCCCTGGTCAAATTCTTTTAGTACCTCCCCATGGAGTATCAAATTATGCTCCTACTTTTCTAACCTACTTCCAATATACGTTTTAAACCTTTTCTCTTATAAGAATATCCTATGCTTGTCCAGACTGAAGAACTCATTGGATCCCAAATATGCCTACACTTTCTTACCTGCTTTTTTCTTCCTGAAATTCTCAACTTCCATCTCTTTCTAACCATCTTTTCAAGACCAAGTTCTCTTCCATAAATCTTTTATTTCCCCCTTCAACCTTCCATTCCAAAATGATTGCTTCCTCACTTTTCTGAATCTCTTCTTTTTTGTTCTTTTTTACATTCTACCATCTGTCATTTATGAATATATATAAAATCTCTTCTAGTTACAGGGTCTTTTCGGGAAGGGACTCTGTTTTATTCATGTTGGAATTCTCCACAGCACCTAGACTACTGCCTTGCACAGTAATTTATTATTTTATTTAAAATGAGCATAGGAGTTTTATGAAGACTTGTTATGAACCTTCTTTTCTTCTGAAATAAAAAGTCCCATCAAATTCATTTATTCAAAAGGAGATTCAAGATTTTAGTTTTCTCTGGATCTAGAAGCTATATTATAGCTATTTTCCTTTGTTTAAGTCTTATGGACGTGTGCTTAAATCAATGGAAAAATAAAGTGAGAAAGAGCGAGAAGAACTTAAGTCTCTGGTAATCATTCAGTCCATCCATCTGTCCATCCGTCCATTCATCCACCCACCCACCTACCCTACTGCTGGTTGGCTCAGCTTTATTTAGGGTGACATAACTGAGATGTTTAAAAATATATGAAATTTCAAAATGGCACAAAGTAAATTCTTTTGCTTAATGTACTACTTGAATTAGCTTTCTATGGAAAAAATATAGATGTGTTAAAAGATTTGTTTCAAGTAAGTCTTTGGGTTACTGTATATTTTTAATTGTTTAATAATAATTAAAAATTATAATTAAGATGTTAAATATATTTTTATATTTAGAGTCTTAATGAATGAAAAATAATATTTTTTCTTAATGGAAATTCTGAGAATCATAAGCTAAGTAATTCTTTATGTAAAGTGGATTTCAAAAATTCCTTTTAAAACTATAGAACTCTTTTCACTGTTCCTTGAACAGTGCCATGAACAGTATATTGTAGTTACTCAGTAAATAATAGTTGAATAAGTTTGACTTATGCTGTATCTCTCAGATCCAGCATTTCTTTCTCCATTTCCTTTGCTACGACTGTAGGTAAGGCCAAACTTTCATCATCCCTTTTCTGTTATCCCCACTTCTGGATACTCTCCTGTTCCAGACTTTCTACACATTCTCTCCTGAATAATCCTGATAAAGCAGTTCAAATCCTGCCATATCTCTGCTTGAAAACTTTTAATGGCTTCCTGTTAGCTACCAAATAAAGTCTAGATTCTGTAGTTGGACAGTCATCAATCTTTCCAAGCTCATCTTCATTACTTCCCTTTTAGTAACTCTATTATTTCTCAGTACTCTTGACGAGCTCAGTTGGTTTCTGTTGCCCTTATACCTTCTGTGCACACCTGTTTCTTGCTTCTGTGCTGTTCTCTTCAGTTGAGGTGTTTTACCCCTCTTTCTACCTTGTATACTGGTTCTTTTTATACTTGAGTTCAAATTACTTGTAAGTACAGTTTAGGTTTGAATTTTTTAACCTTCCATAGTACCAAGGACAATACTTTACACATAAGAGGAATATAGTTAAATATCTTCTTAATAGATAAATGATTCAGTGTTCCCCTATTTATTGTATGTAGTATACTGTAAATCAGTAGGTTATGTAAATTATGTAACATGAATAGCATGATATTGTAATATTTATCTTCCTCAGGAAACTTATTTGGGAAACCAGAAGGAGAAGATGGCTTTACATTTTCTTTTCCATCAGATTCTTCAACTCATACATTTGGAGCTGGAAAAGATGATTTTAGTTTTCCATTTTCATTTGAACGAGATCAAAACTCAACACCTTCTTCTGTCAAAGGTTTTTCATCTTCCTCACAAAATACAACCCAATTTACTTTTTTTTGAACTAGTTACTAATTTCTTGAATTATTTTACTGCTCTGTAATTATCTAGGGTATGAATTTATGTTACTTAAGATATGAAGGCTACTTTCTTTTGTTGATTAAAGCATAATGGCCTTCCATAGTTGCATTATTTGATTATATTTATTTAAATATTGAAAGAAATTAAGCTTATATCATCTAATTTAGTTTCTGTGTGTGGCATTAGCTATCATTATTCATTTTGGTTTTGATTTTGCAAGCCATATTCAATCAGAACTTTTGTTAATCTTAATAGAATTTGATGCTTTTCCTATTAATCTTTATTGTAAATGTCAAGCCTGCCTCTTCCCAGAACGTAAGTTTAATTCTGGTAGTAATTTAGGTGCTTTGATAAGAACAAGAACTCCTTCTGGCCCTGAGAAGACCTTTTAGCAGTAACTGTGCAGAATTACTATGTACTTTAATGAGGTGTACTTTGTACTTTAGCTGCTAAAAAATGCTTTTAAAATTATTGTGTTTCACTTGTGCTTCATTTTTGCAGTATGCGGAGTGTTACTTTAATAATAATCTCAAAGGATTTATGTTACTGATAGTGAATAAAATGTGTTATTTTATTCTAATACAACAAATGGTAAAATTCTAATTTTATTAGTTATTCTAATATCTTTGATGGAAGGAAATTAAACATGAAGGGCTACTGTAATTTCTTAAAATTGGATTGTTGTATTAAAGATGATAACTGTTAAATATGTGTTTTTGCTTAAACTTTTTTGAAGAACATTTGAAATTTTGTTTCCTGTCTTCAACAAAAATATTCACATTTTTATTTTGTATGCAGTATTTTCCTGTCAATCAATTATATAGCTTAAATGAAGATATTTAAAATTTGATGAAATTATATAAACATATTGCTCAATATCTTTGTATTTTGTGCTTTTTAAATTAGTTGTAGTCAGTTATCAAGTAATAAAGAGTCTGACTCTGTATTTTGGTTTGTGATTTCTGACAGATTTTAAGCCTTACTTTCTTTTTTCCCCCGTTCTGCCCCATGTCTGGTCAAGCTGATAAGAAAGCCCACATGCTCCCTTCTTTGGCACCAGTGGGACATTCAAACCATGTATAGGAACTCTTGCCCTGGCTCCACTCCTCACCACCATAAAAACCCAAAGCCAGTCTCCTTTCTCTGCTCTCTCAAGCCATCTTCAGCCCAGCTTGGGAAGGCTATCCTGCTCTCCCCAGAAAACATTATTATATGAGTAATAAACCTTTTAATATTCTTTTTGAGGGGTATATGGTGTCAATCAGTTTCAATGTCCAAAACAAATTTGAGGTGAGAGTCTGTCCTCTTCAGGGTGTCCACAACATATCACAATTGTATTAAATTAAGCCTTCCCAAATACTTTGTAGAAATCAGAAGGATGAACTAGCTAATGATAGAATTTAAGAAAACTTTGGACTGTGTTTTTTAAAAAAAACCTTCAACAACTAGTCAAAAGATGAAAATTTCAGTTAAAAAGCTGGAGTTTTTGTTTTTATATCGAGTGTTTTATTGACCCTGTGATTGAATTAATTGGTAGTTTTGGTATACAGTCATGCACAACATAACATTTTAGTCAACGATGGACAACATATATGACAGTGGTCCCATAAGATTAGTACCTAAGGGTATAGTAGGCTATAGCATCCAGGTTTGTGTAGGTACACTTTATGGTGTTCACACAGTGACAGAATTGCCTAATAACACATTTCTCAGGGCGTGTACCTGTCTGAAGTGATGCATGACTATAATAAAGTCATTGACTATATATGAGAAAGGAGAAAAATGTTGTAATTGGTTTATTTGTTATTAGAAGTTAACTGATTTTAGCCTTAAGAGATCCAGTGATTACTTAGTTTATTTTTACTTTAAATAGAGACATGCCTAGCATACCAGTATGGTTAGATTTATCGTATATCAATAAAAGGTAAAATAAAGTATTTTAAAAATATTTACAGTGTACATGGCATTTTGAGGGCATATAGAAGAGCTAAAAGACATAGTGTTATATTCAAGGAGCTTATAATTTAGTTGTTAATAAACCAATTACATTTTTTATAACTTATGAAACAGCAAAAACTAAAATGGTTTCTAATCAAATTCTATCGCTTATAACTTGATTTGTGGTAGAGAAGAGATTGAGTGCTCTAAGAATTAGAAGAAGATAAGTCATCATGGACTGGAAAGCATGGGAAAGAGTCACTGAAGAGGGAGGATTTCAATTAGGACTTTAAAGTTGTTTAGATTGTAAAATTCTTGAGTATAATCCTGATGCCTTTTTTGGCTTTGCATTTTTTATTGCCTAACTGTAGTGGCTAGTGTTTTGTAGTATTTCATTGAACACTTATTGAATTAATTGAATTAAACAATTGGTAAAGGAGGCAAGGAGGGCTTTCTAGGTAAGGAGAACAGTATGGGCAAAAGAAAAATGCAATCATAAATTTAGTATGTGTGGAGGAAATTCAAGAATAGGCCTAATTGGAGTGGAGAGTAATAGTAGGCATTTGAATTTAATATATATGGTAGGACTGATTTATAGAGGATCTGTAAGTGTTTTGATTTAATTTCTGAGCCCAGTAAGGATCTTGTGTCTTAAATGCCAGAGTTGCAAGAGAAAAGGAATGGCTAAGAAAGATTAAACTGCCAATACAGTCAGAGGTGGGAGAAATTAGACTTAGATAAACCAATTAGGAGGCAATTGCTCTGGTCCAGGTATGCCGTGATAAGCTCCAGGTGATAACAACTAATTGTCTTGTGGTTTGATACTGCTGACGGTCAATATTGGGAAAGTCTACCTCGTCTAAAAGAATTACATTTGATTGAATACCATCTGGGTATAAGATAAAAGGAGAAAGGAACCAGAGTTATTTGGTGGTGTTTGAATATCATAGGTATTGTGCATGTGCAGTGTTTGTAATACAGATCACAAAAACAAGGTTGTATAATCAAATAGCCTTCTAAAGATAATTTTTTAAAGAGCCGTATTTCCCTAAAGATAAATCAAATATGCTGCTATCTTCAAGGCAGGAATTTCTCTCTACTTCTACTCAGTAAGATTTCAGAAATAATGGGGTCTAGTCCCAAAGCCCTCTGTTACATTTAGAAGAAAAAGTAATACTGCCTATCTAATTATGTTTAAGAAAAAAGCTATTTTAATGTGATTAGACTAATTTTCCTCTCAATGATTAGGAATGGTATTCCAAGAATACTAGAGGAATATTCCAAAATCAACCAAGGCTCTGATTTATTCCCGAAGGAAGTCTAAGCACACAATAGCTGCTGGGCTATTACTGCTTCTCAGTGGACAGAGGTAGGCTCTCTCAGTAGACAGAGCTAGGAAATGTGTGTGTGTATACTAATCTGTACATACATGTGTCTGTCTATCTTATCTATCGTCTATATGTAAAACAAAACAAAAAACGTGAGCTTATACTTATAACTCCAGCAACATGAGGGTCATTTTAGTATTTATTCTCTTTTTGCTTCTTTCTGACTTCTTTCTCTGACAGTGAGAAACCTGGCTTTCGTTATGTACAATTTATTTACTGCATTGTTCAACTGTAGGATACATGTAAAGTAGTTTCAGAATTGTGAACCTAGATCCTGTAAGAAACACAGTTATCAATTTGGGTATATTAGTTTCCTGTGGCCACTGTAGCAAATTACCACAAACCTTGTAAATTGAAACAACAGGAATTTATTCTCTCACAGTTCTGGAGCCAGAAGTCCAAACGCCAAAATCAAGGTGTTGGCAGGACTGTGCTTTCTCCCAAGGCTCTGGGGTAGAATCTGTTGCTTGCCTCTTTCAGTTTCTGGTGCCTGCTGGCATTCCTTGGTTTGTGTCCACATCACTGCAGTTTTCAAGGTCATTGTATTAGTCAGGGTTCAGAGAAACAGAACCAGCAGCATCCATCTCTATCTATTGATTTGTTTTAAGAATTTGGGTGTCATGATTATGGAGGTTGCAAATCCGAAATCTCTAGGGCAGGTTGGCAGGCTGGAAATTCAGGTAAGAGGTGATATTGCAATCTTGAGTCTGAAATCTGCAGGGCAGACCAGGCAGGCTGAAAACTCAGGCAAGGTTTCTATGTTACAGTCTTGAAGCCAGATTCCTTCTTCAGGAAACCTCAGTCTTTGCCTCTGAGGCCTTCAACTGATAGGATAAAGCCCACCCACATTGTGGAGAGTAATCTGCCTTACTCAAAGTCTACTGATTTAAATGTTAATGACATTAAAAAACAATACCTTCACAGGGTCCAGCTGGTAGTGTAGTGATTAAGTTCATGTGCTCCACTTTGGCAGCCCAGGGTTCGCAGGTTCAGATCCTGGGTGTGGACCTACACACCGCTTGTCCCACATACAAAATAGAGGAATATTGGCACAGATGTTAGCCTAGGGCCAATCTTCCTCAGCAAAAAAGAAAAAGAAAAGAAGAGAGCGAGAAAGAAATTTTAAAAACCCACCTTCACAGGAACATCTAGAATGGTGTTTGACCAAACAACTGGACACCACAGCCTAGCCAAGTTGACACATAAATTTAACCATCACAGCCAGCATCTTTAAATCTCTCTCTGCTCTACCTTCAATTGGCCTTCTCTGTGTGTGTGAACTCTCCATCTTCCTCCCTTTCATAAGGGCACGTGATTGTATTTAGGGTCCACCTGGAAGGATAAGACAGATAATCTCCCCATCTCCAGATCCTTGACTTAACCACATCTGCAAAGACCCTTTTCTTGCCATGTAAGGGAACATTTACAAGTTCCAGGGAGTAGGACATGGATATCTTTTGGGGGATCATTTTCCAGCTTATGACATAGGGTATAGTATTTGTGTACTTTCTTATAGCCTCTAGCCTTAGAGTATCCAGTCAAAACACTGTTTCCAAAGTTACTTAGTGAAGCTCCTGTCTTCTGCACCTCCTTAATCATGATTGTGTCGCTCATTTATAGTACAGTTAGATTCATTTGAAGCCATCTGCATTCCATCTTGTGTTTATCTGAACTCCTGGGTAGTTTTTAAAAATTTGTCTGTAGTAAAATTCCCTCTTTGTGATGTGCAGCTCTATCAGTTTTGACAAATAGTCATGTATCCACCACTGTACTACCATGCAGAACAGCTCCATCACCCCCAAAATTCCTAGTGTTGACCCTTTGGAGTCAACCGCTCTCCGTGCTTCCAAAGCTTGGAAACCATCTATCTGTTTTCTGCCCTCATAGTTTTGTCTTTTCCAGAATGTCATATAAATGGAAACATACTGTGTATAGCCTTTGGGGTCTGGCTTCTTTCACTTAGCAAAATGTATTATACTTCATCCATGTTGTTGCACGAATCTTTTGTTCCCTTTTATTGCTAAGTACTCTACTGTATGGATGTAGTGCAGTTTGCTTATTCATTTACCTGTTGACAGGCGTCTGAGTGGGTTTTGGTGATTGTGAATAAAGCTGCTATAAACAATCATGTAAAGGATTTTATGTGAATGTAAATTTTTATTTCACTTGAGTAAATACCCAGAAGTGGAATTCTTGAATTGTATAATTAGTATGTATTTAACTTTATAAGAGACTGCCAAGCTGTTTTCCAAAGTGACTGTACCATTTGGCATTCCCACCAGCAATGTATCAGAGTTCAGTTGCTTCACGTCCTTGTCATTCCTTATGTTCCAGTTGCTTTACATCCTTGTCAGTACACGCCAGCTTTTAAGATGTCGTCCATTCTAATGTGTATGAAGTGGTATACCATTGTAGTTCTAATCTGTGTTTCTCTAATGTCTAATGATGTTGAGCATCTTTTCATATGCTTCTTTGCCATCTGAATATCTGTGCTTATTTTAAAAATTGGGTTGTTTGTTTTCTTATTGTTGAATTATGCAAGTTCTTTATGTATTTTGGATACAAGTCTTTTATTAGGGATGTGTGTGATTTACAAATATTTTCTTCTTGTCTGTGGCTT